CCCGGAAAAATGTACGGTTCCCCTGGGATAGATTTGTTTCTGGTTTTCTAACTAGCTAATGTTAAATATGAATTTAATCAAGCTATAAATGCTACTTTAATAGCGAAGGCTGATACTAATTGATACTTGAAAGAAATTTTAAACATTTTATGGCTGGGCTGAGTTAATTTAGCCAAGAGTGTATGTTACTAATTCAATTGATACGATTAGAGCCGGAATTGTGGACGCGTCTCAAATGTGGCTCCTTTGATCTAAGAGCAATAATATTGACCGATATAAATTGTATAAATAAATAAATCTTTGAATATTTTAAGAGACAAATGCGGCTATCACTTATTTTATAATTAATCTGTTTGTTAGTTTTACTGATGTGGAACGGGGCAAAGGTCCAATACGTATATTAAGTTACTGGCTTATGCCTGACTTCGCTCGCACCTTATGTAAAAAAAAAAACTATGTTGCTGTCATGTGAATTATCAACTGTAAATTAAAAACCCAGTAAAATCGACGAAATTTTTTACGTTTGTATGAGGTGTGATGTGTTCATCAAACTGTGTACCTACAATTCACTTAGCCTTAGCGAAAATATATTCTCGTTATAATATATTACGCCTAGATTATTTTGCATATTAAAGCCTTTTATTTAAAAGTTAAAATAGCGTGCTTCGTAATACAAACTTTTATCCCTGTTTTCACACGCTTAAGGGATGATTTCAGGGATACAAATTATCCTATGCCCTTCCTAGGGTCTCACACTATTTTTTTTACAAATTTCATCTAAATCGGTTCAGTAGACCCAGAGAATACCCCCTACAAGCTCACAAACTTTACCTCTTTATAATATTAGTATAGATTTACACATGCCATCTTGAATGTTCATATAGTGAATATATCATCAACTTCTCATCAATCTCTTGGCAAGACATACAATTCTTACTACAGACAGTTTACCTTCATAGAAGCTTTATCTATTCCGCCATTACCTTTCAATGTGAATCTCCGTTTCCAAGGCAACCAGTTTCCCATAGGACAAAATACGTTTTATTTTTAGTCTTAAAGGACACTCTAACGTGTTTGTTAAAAACTATATACTATGTATTCCAATTTGCGAAAGCGAATAATACTTTAAGAAATGAAAATTTGGAAAATATTTCAAAAAGGCTCATATTTGTATAGTAGATCTCTATAATAATACTCTTTGAACGCTTTCTAAACGATAAATTATAAACGAATACAGATCTCATACAGGATAATATGAAAATATATAATATATTTTATAATAAAATTGTAAATAAGCCGAATCTGTACATTAAATATTTTTTCTAAAATCTTATCGAAATAGACATTATTATCGATACAGAGGCTGAATCTATAGTTTTTAGAATTTTTGTCTGTCTGTCTGTTACCGTATCATGGAAAAACCACTGGAGGGATTTTGATGAAATTTGGCATGGTGATAGCTTATAGATTCCGGGTCAACATATAGGATACTTTTTACCGCGGGAAAATATCTCATTTCTGAGAAAAAATATAAAAACTGCAATGTAAGAGTATACTAATATGTAAAACCTAAGAATTTGGTTTTTGGTCATCTGAACGCGGGCGGAGCCGCGGGCAATGCTAGTGTAACCAATAAAACTCTAAGTTCTTGATACTTGCGTATGTCAATTATATATAAGACCAAATGTTATAGCCAAGATACCTATACTGACAGACTTTTCATAGTTATTTACTTTAATCCGTATTTAATATTATAAATGTGAAACTTTGTGAGTATGGGTGTTTGTTACACTTTCACGACAGAACGGCTGAACGGATCTGGATGAAATTTGGCACAGAGATAGATTATAGTCTGGAATAAACCAACTTTTTATCCTGGAAAAATTTACGGTTCCATGGGGATAGGTTTGTTTTTTTTGTTTTCCTAGAGACGAACCCGAGCGAAGCAAGGGTGAGCCGCTAGTATCTTATAAAATATCGTTTAACATATGCTATTTTAAATTATCTAAAAGTTTTCAATCACATTTGCACCTAGGGTAAGGTCATATAGTTGCGATAAATAGGAGAGAATAGCAACAATCAGCATTTCATTTGCGCTTAGTTACGTTACTATGTACGAATATATATAACCTATGTATTATTAAAATGCACAAGTTCCGCCATATAATGTATTATATACCAACATATTTTTTTACTCATTATAACATCTTGTACAATATTATAGACATGGTATAACTTCTAAGTCGATACTAATATTATAAAGAGGTAAAGTTTGTGACGTTGTAGGGGGTGTAATCTCTGGATCTACTGAACCGATTTAGATGAAATTTGTTAAAAAATAGTTTGAGACCCTGGGAAGGGCATAGGATACTTTTTTATCCCGGTAATCATCCTTTAAGGGGATCAAAATAGGGATGAAAGTTTGTATGGGGAATCAAGCTAGGGAAGAACCCGAGCGAAGCGAGGGTGAGTCGCTAGTATAATATCACTCGATTGGATGTTATTTTTTCATATTTTTACACGTTTCACTTCTTTTACGAAGTCGATTCTAAGCTACTTTAAATTAATATCGACTTATAATTTTGTCGAGTTAGTCTGATGATGCCTGATGGCTAGCCAGAAGATAAATATTAGAATATTCAATGTCGCGTTCGTTTTGAAACTTAATACGACTTGTGTAATTTACAACTAAGATAAAAGTGCGTTTTTTGTCATTTATATATATTTTTTTAATATTTCTATCTCGTCTCAGCGTCTGTTTAACCGTAAAACTATTACTCATAACTTATCTCCAAACGTAGTAGCGAAAATTTCATTTGGCTTAGTATTTTTTTTAATTAAAATATTATAATTTATAAATTAGTTATTACAATTGTGGTTGCGGCTTTACAAGAGTGTAAAAAAAAAGCCGTTTCAGTGGCATGTATATTGTACAAGCTTATACCTGCATCATATTCATATAACTAACTAATACTTGGTTTTTCCGGCTAAAGGACTCAATTTATTATGAAGAAACACCCTGAAAGAGCAAATAATGGTTATTTTATAAACAATAACATCTTTACGGGCCTGAAAACATATATTACTATAATATAGTAAATTGAGCATGCCAATTATAATTTTATTAAAAATAAAAGAAGCGGCAAATAAATGAAGCGGTTCGCTATAATTTTAGGTTCAAATTTATTAAATATCTGATTACATAGCTCGTATCAAAAATCTTTACTTATATCTTACGTAAAACTTCGTGTATCTATGTACGAAATTAGAATTTGTGTTTTAACTGTGCAAATCTAGTATCTTAATGATGGTTTATAATTATAAATAGAATGATTCTAATCTTTTGAATACTTAACATATCCTGAGTAGGTATTAATTATTGCATTATAATTTATAATATATAAAGTATACTATGTTCTATGTACCTATTATGAACGTCATTGGCCCAATCCAAGTCAAGTGTCGACCAATACCAAAGTAGAACTGTGTTGTTGTATTCTAATTAATTTCGGTTTTGTTTTGTTTCTTATTTTTTCAATATTTAAAAAAAAAACAGTTACTCTAACAACTTCTTGAATAGTTTTTGCGTAATACGTAAACATAGTCATATTTTTAGTCTATAATAAAGAGTCCCTAGTTAATATATATCATAAATATCTACGTTTTCATACCAAGATAGCAATATTTGTACAAGCAGATATAATAAATATATATATTTTTCAAGGCTTAAAACAATTAGCATTTACGTACCTCTCGCCACATTCCCCTGGCTGATCGGAGCTCCGTTGACTTTGATCCGTCTCCCATCTGCAGTACATTTCAATAGCATAGTTCTGACAGGCACTCACGTGGTCCCCATTCAACATTTGATTTCAGCAACAGTTGTTTGATGTTTTGTAATCATCAACACGCTTTTACTACATAATCTTTGGCGCCAACTGATTAGTGATTGGTTGGTTGCTTCTCGTGACGTCAAAGTCAATTTGAAACCACTCAAATCAACACAAAAACTTGTTATCTTGCAGTCTTATAGTAATTAATCTAGATAAAGCTTTCGTGCAGTTCACTCAACTATCACCATACACTTTTATTTAGTATTTGTTATTTGCTTTATTCGAAATACACGAGAGTCATCAAACTATACGTCTCTTTAAACGAAACACTTATAACACACCAGTTAAGGCTACGCACGGTACAGAACAATCCGTATCTACAGTCCTAATCAGTCCGTCAACAGACTGAAACTGAGTTGAATTGCGGTGGCACAATGTTTTGACAATTCAAGTCAATAGAGTCTTCGAGAATATTTATGCATGAGTGAAGTTAACGACACAGGTTTTATTAATCTACGTCCGTAAATATTAATGTATAACTTAAAATTTATTTGAAAATTGTAAGTATCTACATTTACCAAATAAAAATATTTTAAATTTTTCAAAATTGTGTAATAATAACCAGTATGACACAATAATGTTGCTAGTATATTTTTTATTTAATTTTACCCAGATGTTTTTATTATTGCAAATTATTTTTATTCTATAAGTTATATTATATAGCTTAGTTTGATCCTCTTTAACAATAGTTGCTTATAAATATCACATAGAAACAATAGCATTGATATTGACTGTTATATATCAAGTAACTTAAGAAAACTTCGTGCCAAATTCGTAATTTTGATATATTCGAATAATTGAGATAAAAAGGCGAGGTTTAACAAAATAGGGAGTTTTTTAAAACATATTTTTATTTAGAATCCTACTAATTATCTTCTATTAATATTTAGGCTGTAGGTTATGTTTCTATAAAAGATTATTATAGGGTAACATTAATCTGCCATATTGGCAGCTCTAGCCCTCAGCGGCCTCGTCCAGTATATTTACAAGCTGCGCGCCATTTTGCCGTTTTGGGCTTTTTATGTTTCAAGTTTCCTAGTTCCTACACGAGTATATCAACGCCCAATTTATTAAAGTGCGGGTAACTTAAATAAATTAAGAATAAAAATGGGTAAAGATAAAAAAACAGAAACTAGTGAAGGGTCAAGTGAAGAAGAAGAATATGTTGTAGAAAAAGTATTAAATAAAAGAACAGTCAAAGGAAAGGTTGGTATAAAACTATTTTGTTAATAAAATATATTTAGAATACAGTTTAGGTTTTCAAAATAATTCACATATTACACTTAAAATGTTTATGGTGCATTATCGTTTAATACATTATTATTTAAAGAAACATAACCGTCTCACAAGCCGGTACCAAATTAAATATATTACCTACTTGTCATAATTTTCATAATTGATATATTTCAGTACATTATATTAGTTATTCGTTTCTTTTATTCACGTCACGAACTATAGTTTGGGACAGGTCTACTATACTGTCATAATATGTTGGTTAAGTAATATAGGTTTTACTAAAATAATATAAATGTATACTTAAAAAAGTATACCCATGTGTAAGTAATATAGATCTAATACTTTATTATATTTTAAATTTAATGTATAGGTGCAATATCTGTTAAAATGGAAAGGCTATAAAGAAGAAGACAGCACTTGGGAGCCAGAAGAGAATTTAGATTGTGAAGAATTAATTAAAGCCTTTGAAGATAAAAGGAAAGAAAAAGAGGTAAAATTTAAGCATTTAAAATATACATGGGGTATATTGTATAAAAATAGAATATTAAACTATATAAAATGAACTTTGAAGATTAATCCAAGTAAGGAATAATTTTATTAATTATATACTATTGTTTTAGGCAAAGGCAAAGAAATCAGAACCTGAGCGGCCAAAGAAACGCAATCGTGACTCTGGTGATGACACAAGTACCACTAGTCGCAAAGGCAGAGGCACAAGTGTTTCCTCTATGGAAGACAGCAAAGAATCAAAAAAAGAAAAGAAAGAGGATAAGTCAAGATCTGGTTTTGATAAAGGGCTTAAAGCAGAAAAAATTATAGGTAACTTGTTCGTTCTTTTTAAGTAACAGTGAAATTGTCTTTTACATCAAATTAAAGATTATAATATATAGTAAATACTATATTTTTGGTAATTTACTCAGTATTAGTTATCTCAAACACAATCAATATAACTTATATTTTCACCAAAATATGTATAAGTTTTAAAATTTAGGTGGTTGCTTGCAAATTTCAACCACTAACAACTTTTAAGGAAGAAACAGTCCAACTTTGTATTAGAAAAAATATTATTTATATAACAAGAAGGTACAATATTTAAGTATTTTGCAAAATATAACCTGGTGCTCACTCAAGTTTGGATTCACACTATTAATTCAAATGATACTAACCAAAGTTTTCATGTGAACGAAGCAATAATGTGGTTAAATTCAAATTAAGCAATGAAAAATCAAAACAGCGCGTCGAGCACAATACAATGTAGTGGCGGCGCGTACGTGTTGCAAGTTGCAACCTGTTTAATCATGCACTATCTTAAATTCATGAAGATTTGTCAAAAAAATGTTTGTGTTTCTACATTCAACTCAACAGTAGGCATATCGGATTACAGGGGGCGCCGGATTAGACAGGGGCCGGATTACCGGGGCTCCACTGTACAGTAAACTAATTTTTAATGCCATAGATATAATTGATAAATAGTTGAAAAAGTAATAGTTAGATCATAAATGTCTAAAACATTAAGTTCTGTCCAAAATATAAGCAATATTTGTTCTTGGTGCACCTAATAAACTCTTCTAATGCAAAAAAAAAAATCTACAACTTAAAACATCATATACCTATGTAGCAATGCGTCATTAACATTAGTTTTTAGTCTAAATCTGTGTCTTATCTGCATAGAGTTCACTTGTCACTGCCAATCCCATTATTATTATAAATGTGAAAGTTTGAATGGATGTATGTTACTCAATCACACAAGAATGGCTGAACGGATCTGCACGAAATTTGGCACAGAGATAGATTATAGTCTGGAATAGGACATATGGTTACTTGATATCCTGGAAAATTTACGGTTCCCTTAGCTATTTTTTACTTTTTTGCTAAAGTATTGTATAATATAAAAAGCATACTAAATCTGCTTCTTTCAAAAATGGTAAAAATTATAACTTTATAAGTCTTAAAGGTATATCCTTTGAAATAATATATTATTATTCTCTAATTTCCTTGTACATATGTTATGGTATGGTATAAACGGGCTTGTTTCCGCAACTCGACGTCTGCGCGCCTATTTTGCGTGTTCCTTGTACATAATATAACATTGTTTTGATGCACAGGAGCATCTGATGCAACCGGAGAGTTGATGTTCCTTGTGAAGTGGGCTGATTCGGATGAGGCAGAACTGGTTCCCGCTAAAATTGCAAATGTCAAGTGTCCACAGCAGGTAACATTCAATTTTATAAATAAAACTACATATATATTTTGATGAAGGCAGTGGTAGCCCAGTGGTAACACGCTCGCTTGGGAAACCGAGTGAAGCGGGTTTAAATCGTGGGTCTCGCACCTCTGATATTTTCATGTGCGAATCATTTCCAAAATGATTACCACTTGACTTAACGGTGAAGGAAAACATCGTGAGGAAACCTGCATGTCTGAGAGAACCTAGCAAGTTTTCAAAAGACATGTGAAGTGCGCCAACCCGGACTACGCCAGCGTGGCGGACTATGGCCTGATCCCCCTCGTACTGAAGGGAGGCTCGTGCCCTGCAGTGGGACGTTAAAAAAAAAGGGCTGAATACATACATATATTATTAAATAAAACTATCTTTTCGGATTATTTCGCGGATTTATTTTGATTTTTGGTTCCCGACGTTTCGAATGCTTTACAGCATCCATGGTCACGGGAGAGACTGAGGTGTTACATGTCTTAAAGATATAGTTGTTACAGACAGCCTACCCACAATTAACAAAATGAAAATTGCACCAATTACATTACAATATTTTTTAACTTTAAACATTTTTATAATTTTAATTATAATTGAATATGGAAAATTATTTATTTAATTTTTGTTATTATTTTTATAATTATTACAATTTTAAAAATATTAATTAGTAATCTATATTTAGTGTTGCCATTATTATATTTATAACCATAAATAAAAATATAAAAATATAGTATTAATTATTAAAGCCATATTTTAATTGTTATATGTGTAATTTAAAAAAGTTAAAATTAATTAAGGATAATCATTTTAATTTAGTTTGCTATTATTTAAAAACAACTTACTAAGCAACACTATTAATATATACTTTTACAAATGAAAAATGAAAAATATTAATCTGATAAGCTGTCATTTTGATCTACACAGTATGAACTTACTACATCTGCCTGTCTGTTATGTTTATATTTATTATTTGATTTTATTATATTAATGACAGGATCCCATGACGATGGTAGTACCCAGCCATCTTCCCTATTGAAATTTGGATGTTTTTTAATTTCTATGGCTTCTCGAATCATTCTAGGGCGATATCGCTTTTCTTTCGCCAGGATTTGAGGTCTATCGAAACGAATATAATGGCTTGGGCGGTCCTGGCTATGTTTGCAGACAGCAGATGTTGTATTGCGACGGTGCTTCACATCAGCTATGTGTTCTTTGACCCGGGTTCTAATGGATCGCTTTGTTTGTCCAATGTAAGAGAGCCCACAATCACTAACTGATATCGCCCTAGAATGATTCGAGAAGCCATAGAAATTAAAAAACATCCAAATTTAAATAGGGAAGATGGCTGGGTACTACCATCGTCATGGGATCCTGTCATTAATATAATAAAATCAAATAATAAATATAAACATAACAGACAGGCAGATGTAGTAAGTTCATACTGTGTAGATCAAAATGACAGCTTATCAGATTAATATTTTTCATTTTTCATTTGTAAAAGTATATATTAATAGTGTTGCTTAGTAAGTTGTTTTTAAATAATAGCAAACTAAATTAAAATGATTATCCTTAATTAATTTTAACTTTTTTAAATTACACATATAACAATTAAAATATGGCTTTAATAATTAATACTATATTTTTATATTTTTATTTATGGTTATAAATATAATAATGGCAACACTAAATATAGATTACTAATTAATATTTTTAAAATTGTAATAATTATAAAAATAATAACAAAAATTAAATAAATAATTTTCCATATTCAATTATAATTAAAATTATAAAAATGTTTAAAGTTAAAAAATATTGTAATGTAATTGGTGCAATTTTCATTTTGTTAATTGTGGGTAGGCTGTCTGTAACAACTATATCTTTAAGACATGTAACACCTCAGTCTCTCCCGTGACCATGGATGCTGTAAAGCATTCGAAACGTCGGGAACCAAAAATCAAAATAAATCCGCGAAATAATCCGAAAAGATAGTTTTATTTAATAATGTCAAACATTCGCGTAAATCTAAGAAAGTATTACATACATATATTGTGATGTATACTTGTTACTGAGGAAGAATAAAGCTTATTGTTTGATTTGTTGAGACAAAATAAAGGTAACTTCAAGAGTGTATTTATAAATTACAAAATTGAGTGTTAGGATTGCTGTTAGATGGATGTTACTTTTTTAATAACTTGATTAATTTTTATTTATTACTAGCGACTCACCCTCGCTCCGTTCGGGTTCGTCCCCATTTACGTTTTTACGTTTAGTATAGATTTCTCAGAAATGAGATATTTTCCCTCAAAAAGTATCCTATATGTTGGCCCGGATAACCAGCTATCACCTTACCAAATTTCATCAAAATCCGTACAGTCGTTTTTCCGTGATGTGCTCACAGACAGACAGACAAAAATTCCAAAAACTATAGATTCGGCCTCTGTATCTAAAATAATAACTATTTCAATAAGATTATCCAATAAAAATATTTGTACAAATTCGACACAGAATTTTATTATATGTATAAATTATTACTTTTTATATTGATTTCTGTAATAATATTTTAAATTTGACTTTATATTTTCTTTTTCCAGGTGATAGCATTCTACGAGGAGCGGCTGACCTGGCACACTCCTGCCGAGTCGGAGTGAAGTGGACGTGGCTGTGATGTGACCTTGACAGATTGAACTTTCATATACTTAACTGAGCTCACTTCGGATCCGGCTGTGTGACAATAGGGATTATATTATGGGTCACTTGAAGATAATTTTTTTAATGAAGTAATAAGTGATAATAATATTAAAATAAGAATTAGAGTTGTTATACTATAAAATATAATTTAAGAGTTATGCTAAGAATCAATTTAAATGCAAGTTATTTGGTTTGTTATGTATATTATAGTATAATCTTGTTTTTATGACTATCAACTAAAATTACATTGAAACAATTTGTTTTTAAAGAGTTTTTTATAATTTTGTAATTAGTTTTTTTGGGTTTTATCTTGACATATTCAAATTACTAATGGTGTCCTTGAAAGTTCAACTCCCAATACTTGGTCCTTGTCCTTTATAGGTGTTGAATATCAAAAAAATCTTTCTTAGTGCTTATAGGGATAAACTATCATATCAGCTCTTTAGGGCCAGCAGTTCGGCCTGGGCGTTGATTAATTAGTATGGACAGGCAACTTTATATTATAAATATGATCAAATAAAAATAAAGATCGGTAAAGTGAGGGTCGAATTCGCACCCGAAGGGTTCCGTACCATCGTACATGTACTTTTTATTAATATGATTTACTCTATTTATGTATGTAGTATATTTGATGATCGATTACGAATGGTAATGTTTCTTGTATTTTTATTTATTTATTTTTATTATTTGTTGTTATAGTGGCATATATAGAAATTTATACTGTGTGAAAATTTCAACTCTACCTATTACAATTCACGAGATACAATCCTCTGACAGACAGACAGATGGACAGCATAGTAATAGAGTCCTGTTGGCTTCCTTCGGGTACAGAACCCTAAAAAATTTTTTTTTCATATGATATTTTTATTATATAAATAAAAGCCCATATAATTAGAATGTAAAAGAAATTATTTTTATTGTATAACAGCTCTATTTTTAATAAGTGGTGTTGAGTGAAGTCACGGTCGAGCTCCGAATTGTAAGTAATACTGAAATAAGCTGAATATATTGTGCTTATAATTTATGACTTTTATTTCACTTACACAAACTATTTAATAATAATGTTCATTTATGGTGACACATAATTCTTGTACATTTTTTTATTAAATACTAGCGATTTTGTCCTTAGGTACATTTGGACACTTAGTATGGAACAGATTTTTGTTATCAATTTTTTTTTGTGTTTTTTTCCGATGTTTTTAATACTTATTCTGCTATTTGGGGTGAAGACAAATCCAACAAAACAAATATCATAAAAATCGGTCCAGCAGTTCTCGAAACAATGAATGAATGAATGAAAAGATGTAAACAATGACTAAATTAGAACAGTTAATCAGTACTATTATAAAGCTATAGAGTTTGAACAGATTTATCTCTGGAAGTTAAAGTAGAAGAAGTTGAATTTGAACAATAAGTTTCACACTTTATACCTTATCGACGAAGGGTGTTTAATACAACAATACAAGCAGGTAAAAATATTAAAATAATTATACTTGTTATACATAAAATATGTGAAGGTGTATGTTGTGTAGTGTTTTTACAAAAATTATGTGTCTTTATAAAGTAAAATTAAAAATATAATTAAATATAAGCTATAAGTTAAAATATCACATAATAAAATACAGATACACAAAGACTGCTAGAAATCTATAATAATATTTAAATTTGATTATAAAGCTTAATATTAATTTAATAAATGCCGAAAACTTATATAATCAAAATTCTAGTCGCATTTCTATTGTAGAGGTGGGTTCGGTCTACTTCAGGTGTGACCAGTCTGCGAACAGACAAATAAAACTAAGACCCTCTACTGCTTTTTTGGCCTTACAGGTCATCATCACCACTTCAGATGGCATCCATTTGTGGAAAATCTGAACTTAATTAATTTTATTTTCAGTTTTTATGGTTGACACCATCGATAACCATCTGCTAGTGATGCATACATGCTCACGGCATTGGCTAAATTTATGCCAGTAAATAGCTGAGATATTGCTATGTAAATAAGATTTGTACATAACTGTAGTCCTTTTAGGTTTACAAAAGTAATATTAAAATCACAAAAAGAACGATAACATTTTCATTTTCTTAATTCAGCGTTGAAGACAAAAGCTACTTAACAAAGTTAATTTAACATAAGTTCCCAAGGCAATTTTTGGCCGGCTTCAACTCAATACATTTATCAAATTGGGAACGGATTTTAATCATCGTATCGATATGGGACCGCACGCGAAAGTTAAGGCAGCGTTATTTTCCCCTTAAGTGTTTTATTCCTGGAGATAGTGGGATCAAAACATTAATTTGTAAACATAGAATATTTAAAAAAATGGAAAAAATAATAAAATATGGATTTGAACCAGTTATCAATAATATTCTACATACATGGTTAGAATAATGAGAAGATAAAAAATTATTCAAATCCAACCACGTTTATATTATACCACAAACGAGTGTGTCAAATGTTTATGATGTGAAAATTATGGTATGTATAAAAAATTTAGTTTAAAAATACTTAGTGTAATCATATTAATTCAATTTAATTCTTTATTTAATGGCTTTAATAATCAAATTAAATACAGCAATTTTTTCTTGATGTTGATATTATTGAAAAATGATTCTAATAGATTAAAAAAAAAGTAAAAGTCTAGACGCACGGTCCCTATAGCTACAGTCAATTCGGGTAACATGGGCCATTATGGTAACATTGAACACACTCAAACAAGCATTTTGTTTAACATTATTGGTTAAATATATATTAAATATTCTTTTCTCAAATAGACGTTTTGGCTCAAAATACCATGTGCGTTAAAATTTACATAAAACCCCATTTTCCTTAAAATTAAAAGTGGTTGAATGTTACCACACAGTTTTAGACCACCAAAAAACTTGATGATTTTGTCACACTCTTTGTGTTTTTACTTTTTATTAAATTTTTAATATGATTCCTGGCAAAAATGTTCAAAGACATGCAAATATGATAGAAAATATCCCAAAAGTGGTCCAAAGTAACGAAAACTCACTATACATACGTTTTGGTTGTAAACTTGACTTTGATTATTGCTCAGCCATTTACAGTCCGCCAAACCAGTAGTTTTAGTATAAGAACTCTACAGTAGCTACTGGGTTGATAAGTGAAGATTCTAAGAAGTCATATATGCAAGGAGTATGAAGATTGTAGTTTATTTGGAGCAGTATATATATACTATAACTTTTTTAATATTCCTTCGATATTATAGTCAGTATAACTGATCTGAGCAAGGCATTTTTCTCAGGGCTTACGTACGTATTATCTTATTAAATAATAAAACAGAGTATTTAGTATCTAAGTATATAACTTAAAATAGCAATAAAAAAACCTACATAAGCCTTACATGAAAAAGCTATATGATGTACGCGAGAACAAGTCTCTATCCTCCTTAAAAACATTATTATAATGTAATGCATCATGTTCTACATAACTTAACGAAATATTCACATATAAAAATACATTTAGTTTGTTCATGTCGTTTTGATTTCTCCTCCCGTTCAAGCTTGGTACTTATAATCTCCTTTGCTCAAGCCGTTCCTGTAAAAAATAAACCTAATATTAGTATATAAAAAAATGACGTACTCAATTCATGTATCGTTCCAGTTAGAACAGTACAATATAGTTGTTATTAGTTGTTTGTAGTGCACAAGTTAAAATGCTTATAAGTTTAAAGTATTTTAATTACTGAAGTTACAGTATAAATTTGACGACTCTAACCTATATAAGTGTATAATCTATGACTCTAACTGGCCACGTCTGTTCGGCTCAGTATCTTTAAATGCACTCGCAAAAAATTTAACGACACATTTATTTATTTATTTATTAACACCAACAAGACACACCCTAACAAAATCATAACAATATAATTACAATAAATAATAAATTCTAAGTGCTGCCTTAATTACAGGTGTTACACACATTTCATAAAAGAAGCTATCGCGGAAAGTAAACAAAACTAAAAATGTACGTAAAACCGTACAATGCAACTACTGTTTTTGTATGTTATTTGATATCTTCACCAATTGGACGTAGTTATGCAAAATAGATCCAACCACAACAACTTACTTTTTAGAAAATACGGAGTTTTAATAAAAATGGTATATCAAAATTACAAGGCCGTAGTATTTTTTGAAATTCCTCTTAAATATTGGGTATTTTATTTTATCTTCTTTCTGTATATGAATTGATATGTAGGTGCCATTTATGACCGTAACTCAAAAACCGGTTTTCGTGAGCTGGATCCGTTTTGCATTACTATATCCAATTGTCGATCCATTTTCAAAATTCATTAGGTCCTATTAAATTATTTAATGTCGTCAGAACAATGTCGCCGCCGGAGGGCGGTACGTACGTGAGGTGCGCGACGTGCGAGGGCGTGGCGTGTATGAGCGGCGCGAGGCGCTCCGTGAAGCGCGCGAAGTTGCGCTCCAGCTCGCGCTGGTACTCGCGCTGCTCCGAGCTTATCAGGTTCTTGTTCTTCTTCAACGCATCGTGGCATCTGCACGACATATAGTGTGTAAATATATACAATACACATAATCTTATATACGAGTATATCATACGAATATATGTATAAGATTATGTTATATATGTTAACGGCGAAGGAAAATATCGTGAGGAAACCTAGCAAGTTTTCTAAAAACATGTGAAGTCCGCCAACCCGCACTTGGCCAGCGTGGTGGACTATGGCCTGATCCCCCTCGTATTGACGGGAGGCCCGTGCCCAGCAGTGGGACGTTAAAAAGGGCTGAATACATACATACATATCATACTAGCGACTCACCCTCGCTTCGTTCGGGTTCGTCCCTAGGTTGATTTCCCATACAAACTTGCATCCCCATTTTCACCTCCTTTTTAATAAAAAGTATACTATGTCACTCCCAGGGTCTCAAACTATCTTCATAACAAATTTCATCTAAATCGGTCCAGTAGTTGAGTTTATTCTTTATAAACATACAAAGATACAAATCTTTCCTTTTTATAGTGTAGATAATATCATCATCTATAATTTGTTATGATATATCATAACGTCACCAGAACCTATACACATTACATTTTATAAACGCACCGACAACGCAAGTATGCAGAATACTGATAAACTTCAATTATTAACAAGCGCAAGTCAATGAGTTATCGTGTGCATAATATACATACATACCGAGCTTTTTTGATTATATTGATCCGACTAATATTGTAAATATGAAAGTTTTTAAGTCAGTGAGTGAGTAAGTATCTTTTTACTTTTGTTCTGTAACGATTTAACAGATTTCATTGAATGTGAATCATGTGGACTCTAAATTAATGTAATACAATGCGAGCAGAGCGGCAGCTAACAAAAAATATTATTGTACTTATATTTGTTTATTTTACGAGACATTTTAAGACTTCCAAACTGTGCATATTATATGTTAATAAAATAAATAATTTTTCACTTAACCTTGAATTCGTTTTTATAAACAGTTAGTTATTTGATTGATACTGACTTCTTAGAGAAGTCCTTGAAGGCCAGTCGCAGCTTGTTAGTGAGGCGCGTGGGCGGCTGCGAACCCGCGACCACCGGCGCCAGGAACACCTGTCGATCATTATATATCAATTATACACGAGAATCACACACGAGATCATGATATATCAATTATAATTAAAAAATAAATTTAAACCGGAGCGGATAGTTTAATATGGGTAATATTAAAATGGCGAGAAAATTAGCCGTCATCATTTTTACAGTTAATTAACGTAATTATAATGCAAAAAAAATGACGACCGGTGAGAGTTAAGGCGCAGGACCGACGATAATAAATATAAATAGGTAACGAATTTTATTATAATAAATAAAACAATATTGTCTTAACTAATACATAATATTAAAAAAACCCTTCTCTGTGAAGAATAGTAGCACAAATATCAAATCACGCTACTGTTTTAGACTTTGACATTTACTTAGGCGCAATCCTTGTAATTATAATTCGTTAGTGTGAGATATGAACCCACTTGGATTTAGTAAAATATAATAAAGACATAAACGAATCAGAGACTAGCGACTCACCCTGGGTTCGCTCGGGTTCGTCCCTAGGTTGATTTCCCATACAAACTTTCATCCCCATTTTCACCCACTTAAAGGATAATTTCCGGGATAAAAACTATTCTATGTCCTTGCCAGGGTCGCAAACTATCTTCTTACCAAATTTCATCTAAATCGGTCCAGTAGTTTAGGAGCCTGTTCAGTACAAACAAACGAACAAATCTTTCTTCTTTATAATATTAGTGTAGATAAATGTTCGAAGGAATGAAGGCACCTGCGCCAGTTCCAGCGGCCCCTGGTTGACGGTGGTGCCGATGCAGCCCTGCAGCACCATCTGCAGCATCTTGGGGTCGGGCGGCTCCTGGCTGGTCGCCGCAGCTAGCTCGTTGATCTGATACACCAGACCATTTATACACATATATAACTTAGGATTGTTATAACGAATGAATATAGTATTCTTTCAAATCAAATACGAAAATAGAAGTTTTACAATTTTCAATTATAAATAACGGTCGCATAATTTCTTTATTGGCTCTTTAGGAACGCCATAATAAAATTTAATTTTTAAACATTATACGAAGACTAAATAAGGCTAATGATATATGTACTTTTCGTTTTCAAATATTTTTCGTTATTTATGTATTAAGTTAAAATATTAATGTATGTTGGTACCTTCTTCTGTATATCCTCGATTGCCACCTCGATGGGAGTCAAGATAATTTGAGTGCGTTGCACCACCTGCACATGAAAAAAAGTTAGAAATATTCTTGTATGTATTTAAATAATATTTATGTATATAATAATAATAATTCATCAATCAAAAAAGTACTACATTCTTATTGTTATCACAGATAAAAAAATTAAAAGCGCGCTCAAATGTTTAAATGAACGCTCATTCGGTGAGGACATTTTTTGTCGCTTATTGTGTTTCTAGTACTTTTTTAAACGATATAATAACTCGAAATATAAAAATATATGGTGTTGGGTGGTGGGTGGAGGTCGGACGGTGGCACCTGTATGCGCGTCTTGACGTAGGGGAAGTGGTGCGCGGTGGTGAGCAGCGTCTTGCGCTTGCACTGCTCGCCCAGCTCGCCGTGCGCGCGCCCGCCCGCCGTGAACGGCGTCGCGTACATGAACCGCTCTGTCGCACACATATATACATTCATATTATTTATTCAAATTAAAATCATATTTGGTTAACCTTTATAGTAGTCAGTGCTAACGTTAGTAACTGTCAAATATGGGTATAAAGCCTTTTCGGTCGTATCAAATCTTACCATTAAAAGAATTGCACGTGAACTAAAAGTTCAAATTCACTTATAATCCAGTAAAATCGGCTGCCATAACTAAATGAAATCAAAAGAATTATTATTCACTCTACTAACTAACCTAAAAAAATCAAACCACAAACCAAAAAAAAAAACAAAAGAATATGTAACACTAACTGATATTGTAGTTGCGCTCGTAGTGCGTGATGCGCGTGCGCAGCTCGTGCGGCTCGAAGTAGGGCTCCACGTACGTGATCTGTATGTACGCCTTGTCGGGATCCAGCGCGCTCACGTCCACTACGTTCGAGTCCTTGATTATCACCACGTTCTCGGCACCGAAACGTTGTCCGTAGAAGTTCTGGAATTAATCGTTTTTATTCATCTTCATTCACAAGTTTTTCTATGCAGAACTAAAGCAGGACGTGTGAGCTCATTCAGATGAGGACCTAACAGCATCTTTAAATGATTTACTACATATTCTAGTATTGTAAAAAAAATAAGTATTATAGAAACAATAGCTAATGGAAAATTAAATTAAAAAATTGGTTATGTCTTCGAGGTTCACTCACTCACTCGGGGTAGTACTTTCAGGATCCAGTCCATTTACGTTACTACCGACTGATTTTTATTATTAACATGGACATTATTCCCACGATTAAAGTAGTGTGGGGATAAATTTTGATATAAAGAAAAACAAAAACCTGTGTGGATACTTATGTATGTACATAAGAAGTTATACTACTTTGGCGTAACAGAATAAAAATAGCTAAAGACTTCATCCCGTATCTCACAACTATCTGTTTGTAAAAGGAATGCATCTAACTTTATCATGTCACTTTTTGCCTGTCGACGTGCGCGCGCATCGCAAAAATTTTACTCTCATATTTTTTTTCCAAAAAGAAGTATAACTTCAACAAATGTTTGGTTTGAGCCACAAGCTCAGTGTCTCGTGTCTCGTGCTGACCTCCAGGCGGCTGAAGATCTCGGGCAGCTTGGTGAGCGCGTGCTCCTTGTACACGAACTCCTCGCCGTCCAGGTCGCCGAAGCGCGCGCCGTAGAAGGACACGCGGAAGTAGGAGCCGAACACGCGCTTGCCGTGCAGCTGCTCGATGCGCGTGAACGCCTCGTTCAGCTTGCTATGAATACCAAAGACAGTAATTGTTCGGGTTGTTTAGTTCAGTTAATTCAACAACAGATGGCGGTAGTGGTATTCTACATTGCGCGAGTATTACATTCTGATAAATATATATTTTATAATATTCAAATTGTTCATGCAAAGCGCCTGAATAATTATTGAGGCAAAATTGCGTATTGGATAAAAATTCGTGGTGTGCCTACCCCACCTCTTGAGGTATTTTTGTAATAAATTATTAAATCTTTTGTGAGTGCATCAAGAACACGTTTTTTTTACTCCTCTAAATACTGCTTAAATCCCGTACACAAATTCTTTACCGTCACAAAATATATTTTAATCGTTACACAATACTTATCAAAAAGTAAAATAATATTCATATAGTCTCCAGTGACAGTTTCCATCACTTATCCCTATCACCATAAAACACCATAAAACTAGTGACCCGTGTATATTGGCGAGCTTCTTGTAATCCCTGTTGTCCTCGGCGATGGGTATGAGCACCTTGTAGACCTCGTTGACGGCCTCGTACATGCCGGCGGCCAGCAGCTCGCCGGCCGCGTGCTCCAGCAGCGCCTGCAGCTCGTGCGGCGTGAGGTGGTGCGGCAGCGGGTCGGCGCTCTCGTCCAGCGCGTTGTGCGTGACGCGCGCCAGCAGCGCCGCGCCGCGCCCGCGCCAGCGCAGCTGCTCCGCCGCCAGCGCCGCGCCGTGCACCAGGCACATGCCCGCCTCCACGTGGTTGTTGCGCTGCGAGCAAGCACGCACGCACACACATTACGGTGGACCGGAAATTACTATATATGTGAGTCAATTCTTGAATATTTTCAAAGAAGATCAGCAAAAAAAAAACCATTCAAACCAAAAATTTAAACTATTTTAAAAATCTGTGGGCCACCTCAAAATGTTGAGTAATTTTTTTTTATTTCAAACATTTTGATTTTTTTTATAAACTACAGATTATACGCAGAAGCTAAGAAAAAAAAACATTTTTTTTCGCGGCACCCTAATATACACACACGCATACATACACACACGCGTTCATCTGAGGCAAGCCGACTGCACACGAGATACTAATGCACAAGTGTACATGGAAATCTCCTGCGCAAATGCACTTTTTAATCAAAACATAAAGTAGATATAGGGATAGGGTCATGTATGGAATAACACATCAGACAAATAGTCTCTCCGACTTTAAATAAACGCTTTTTTTGTCGAAACTTTCCATAATTTTATCATATTACATACGCGTAAATGTGATCGAATTTTATTGATGCGACGTTGAATATCTACAATTTTCGGGTGAATATGTGCTTATTAACAAAGACCTTTGACTTCAAACAACCCCATAAAATGGAATCCAATAGTGTTAAATCACACGATCTAGGGGGTCAATCCTTATCATCGAAACGAAAAAGTACACGATCAGGGAATGTTTCAATCGGTCGCAATTACTCAACGAAGTTAAATTAATATCCCGACCATATTTTGTACGAAATTAGCTTACTGTAGCAACCAAACTTTTTTAAAGCAATTTTTAAAAATATTATGTAACAATGGGCGCGTTTTCTGTCGTGGAGTGATCCATTTTTATTAACCCAACACTGTCAGCTACCAAACTGTTTTTTTTATTGCCAATACTTACCGTACGAATGGTGGAAAAATCAAATCTTACTTTAATTTTGGGACATTTTTAGTACCTATCAATACAATAAAGACTCCAATCTGTGCTAGTATTGGTATTACATCAAGCAGTACGTGCGGTACCTCCATATGCTTCTGCGCCATGTTGCTGAGCCAGGTGAGGCGCAGGTCGGGGCTGTGCTGGTAGCCGCGCGCGATGCGGTGCATCAGGTCCAGCAGCATCTCCGGGTCCTCCTGGAACTCCTTCATCTTCACCGTGTCGCTCAGGATCATGTGCAGATTGAACACCAGATCTTTCACCTGTCAGTGACTAGTTTTATTAGCAACAATGTTGTTTTTATTTTATTAAAGAATTGATAAAAGTAAGATTATTTCTGTCATTATATAATTAATTTGGATCTTGGAAGTACCACCCACATAGAGTATCAACATAAAGAAGCAGTTTGTACCAGTTTGTCTCACTACATGATCACCGGAGACTTAAAATATTTTTAAAATATTTAATATTTTATTGGTACATTTTTTAAACATAGATGTAATAAATAATAATAAAACTAAATACTAAAGTAAAAATATTGATTATTTTTAGATTATGTGACTTTATTCGGATAAAAGATCAATTTGAAATCGTTTATCATTTCGTTTAACAAATCACAACAAAAACGTTTAAAGACTAAATGAACCAGTTATCCGTGACCTGTTCCGGGAAGCTGGTGTCCTGCAGGTCCTGGTCGTGCTCGGCGTACAGCAGCACGGTCTTGAGCGCGCGCCGCAGCGACTCCTCGCTGAAGGTGGTGGAGGTGCCCACCAGCGACGACAGCGACATCGTCACTTGCATCTTCACGCGGCTGAAGTTCTGCACAGTTTGTTGTTATTGAATATTTATCTTTCTTGCTTTCCTATATAAAGTTTCATCCCCATTTTTACCCTTTTAAGGGATGATTTCCGGGATAGAAAGTATCCTATGTCCTTCCCAGGGTCTTAAACTATATCCTTACCAAATTTTATTTAAATCGGTTCAGTAGATTCAGAGATTACCCCCTACAACACAACTCATCACAAACTTTACCTCTTTATAATATTATCTTTTGTCTTTGAATGAATATACAAAAGTATACCTACTCTAGGAGTGTACGTTCTTACATAATATCATATACTACGGACATAGTCGGTTTTAAATTTTAGATTACCATAATTAAATAAAATATATACTACGAGGACATTTTTTAATAAACGGAGGTATTTAAATATCACATTTTGAAGTTTTTACAGTTCACATTTTTAACTTTTACATATAATATAATGTTTGTTATTTTTTCATATTTATAACTAAACTATAGAAACAATGTGAACGGACAATAAAAAGAAATCCTTTAATCAAAACATTTCTAACAAGTTTGAAGACATTTACAATTGGTCAAAAGCATCGATCGAAAAAAAGTACGTGCAAAGTAAAATTTCTCTTAACTGGGACCAATTGTGTTTAGGTAATTATTACAGTTGATATAAATAAACAACAATGTAAATTGAACCTTAAATGCAATGCATAAAGTTGTTTTCACAAAAAAATAAAAAAGCGCTCAAATGTTGAAATGAGCGCTCTTTCAGTGATGTCATTTTTCGTCGCTGATTGCGTATCGAGTACTTTTTCGATCGATGATCAAAAGTGAGACCGTCGTGGTGTGTATCGTGAAGCGTGTATACTTACGTTGCCGAGGTGGTAGTGGTGGCGCATGAGCGCGTAGAGCGCGGCGGCGGCGTGCGCGCGCGGCGCGGCGCCCGGCGCGGCGCAGTGGCGCAGCAGCACGCGGCACGTGCCCGGGCCCGCCTCCTCCGAGCACCACGACCACCCCAGCTGCAGTAAGTACACACACCGACATTGTCGTTATTAAAAAAAATATCTTTATTAAATCAACATAAATCATTGAATTAAGTACATTTATAGTGGAAATTTATTCCTAGAAGTACATATTATATACTACTATATTTGTTTCACAAGTACACAGACTTATATAAAACTTATAACAAAAGGTAACACGTGAATATAGATAATTATTATTAATGATTGAACAGTAGGTATATCATTTAATATATACAGGCTTTAGAAAAGCTATTACATTTGTAGCATAACTAGCGACTCACCCTCGCTTCGTTCGATTCGTCCAAAGGTTATTTCCCATAGAAACTTTCATCCCCATTTTCACAATCCCAACACCTTTTAGGCTTTAAGGGATGATTTTGGGATAAAAAGTATTCTATGTCCTTCTCGTCGTCTCAAACTATCTTCTTACCAAATTTCATCTAAATTGGTTCTGTAGATCCAAAGATTACCCCCTACAACGTCACAAACTCACAATCTCACAAACTTTTCCTCTTTATAACATTAGTATAGATTTTAAACATTGTCGTTACACCACGCTCCAGCTGAACGCTCATTCGCCATTCATTATTGACACTATAGTAATGACCCGACCATTTTAGGCCACGACGGCCAATCTCATTAAAACTAGTTATCACTCTATATTCCTGCCACTCTCATACCAATAAGAGTTAAGGCGAAGGGCCGACGACTTGACGTGCTATACGAGGTACAAGGATTAAACACCACCAAATCCTTAACTCCCCAAGCTGTTACTGAGGATTTCTTGACAAAAATACTTAATAACTGAACTTGGTTCGACCCGGGACTCGAACCCAAGACTCTGGATATGCGGCCGTACGTAATAGCCAAAAGCCCATCAATTTTAAGTGGAGGATATCGAGCAAACTACTTTTTTCATTTTAAGTGACCGTAAGCTATAAACATTACTGCATAAGGTTGTAAATGTATTTTTACCTGTCTGAAATATCTTAAGCCACCACCCATCTCTCTCTCAAACCAACAAGGCCAACACCAATATTGTAAGAACCTTTGTAGAAATATTTTCAACAAAAAATACCTTATTCAATTAAATTTTTATTAAATAATCTTTTTGTATCATCAATTTAATTTGGAAAAATTCTGTATAGAAAATTGAAAATTATACGACTTATTTCTGAATTTCTATATACATGCTACCATTTAACTGAAATTAAACTAGAACATAATAAAAAAAATCTCTACAAGTCCACGGACAAGTGGGCCGCGGGGCGGTACCTTGAGTATGAGCGCGCGCACGGAGGCGAACATGTGCTGCAGCACGGCGGCGCTCTGGCTGCGCTGCAGCGCGCGCAGCAGCACGCCCAGCGCGCCGCTGCACGCCGCCTGCCCCCACTCCAGCCCGCTGCACGTCTGCCACACACATTACGTACTCATTGTAATGGTTAAATTGCTATTTGCTATTTTTTTGTAATTAAAATGTGCACTGATTTTATTATTATTTGAAAAAAAAAAAATTATATTCTTGTGGTTTAGATGTCTTTTTTAAAATATATAGTATTAGAAAAAAAATTATAAAAATTGGCGAACAGATAAAAAATATATACGAGAATTAGGCACCATTAGCATTTTTTTTTATGCTAAATAAATTAGCTTTTGTTTTCAAAAGATGACAATAATAGTAATCTTAATTGCATAATATTTATTTTTATTTTATCTTTTTCAATTTAAGAGTAATAAATAAATAAACAACATTTCCACATTGCAATAAATTTACATTTAACTATGGGTATATTTGTATGCACTAATATATAAATGACTAGCGACTCACCCTCGCTTCGGTTTGATTTGTTCCTAGGTACTTTAATTTTTTTGAGCGGAACTCTAATCCTTTTACTAAAAAAAGCAGCCTAAGTTACTCCTTATAATATCAACTACTTGCCAGTGAAAGTATCGTCAAAATAAGCTTAGCCGTTTCGGAGATAAGCCAAAACAAAGAGACAGATACCTAAATTTTAAAAACCGTGTTTTCCTTATAAATACCGTAAATAATTCCATATGCATTTAGTAAAAACCTGTTATTTCGACATTACAAACATACACTTAAATTGTATTTATCTGTATAGATAGGTTCATGAGCAACGCACCTGCACGATGACCTCGAGCGCGTGCAGCAGCGTGAGCGCCACCTCGTGCGCCAGCGCGGCCGCCAGCGCGGGCGCCGCGCGCGCGGGCGACGCCGGCCGCGAGCGCGGCGCGCGCACCCACTCCTTGCGCCAGCGCTCGCGGCACGCGCCGCGCCCGCTCGACCCGCCTGCACACACACACACACACAAAGAGTCACTATATAACCTTTTGCGTTCATTTTCAACCGACTTCAAAAAGGAGGAGGTTCTCAATTCGACTGTATGTTTTTTTTTTTTATGTTTGTTACCCCAGAACTCCGTCATTTATTAACCGATTTGGACAATTTTTGTTTTGTTTGAAAGGGTATACTTCCAGATTGGTCCCATTTAAATTTCAAAAAAAAATACCACCCCTAAGGGTGGAAAAACAACGAATGATGTATTTAACGTACTTCTAATTGTCATATTCACTTGAAACTTTGCAAGTATTTCTATTTCCGTTGATAGTACAGTGGTTCGGTGTTGTTGACCTGATCTGATGGCAAGGCCAGAAGGTGGATAGGTGGAACTCTTCAACGGCTAATAGTAGATACTTTGAGCTTGGGCTTATTTTGTTTGATTTGACAAGTCTAACACGTTAGAATCCTTACTATGCTACTACTGTCTACACTAAAAAGGGAAAAATAAAAACTTTTTAACAAAAAAATAAAAACCGACTTCAAACAAAAGTAAAAAATAACTGATTGGTAGTTTTCATTTACTATACATACCTAATCAAATATTTTCGAAGTCGGTGTGCTTTGCTTTGTATGGGCTGGCACCGATTTCGAAAATATTTGATTAGGTATGTATTTAATAGGTAGGCTTTAATTACTTAGCCAAAGCACACCGACTTCGAAAATATTTGATTAGGTATGTATAGTAAATGAAAACTACCTATCAGTTATTTTTTACTTTTGTTTGAAGTCGGTTTTTATTTTTTTGTTAAAAAGTTTTTATGTCATTTAGAATGTTCATTTATCGACGTGGCAATAAACAGTGTGTCTTCAAATATATTCTATACAAAACAAATTCCAATAGTCTTACGTTTCATCATTATTTATTCAAAGTACATATATAATGTAATAATTTTAAATGATATGTACTCATTAATACATATATTAATTAACATTTTAATATACAAAGAACTCATCAAATTCATTCAAATCCCCTTACCTTTACGCCGCATAATAAAATCGGAGCGAGCAGAGCCCTGTCCGAGAATAACGTCCTCTAACTTCGCCTTGATATCTGTCGTCTTACGCACATTTTGTTGCGCGCACTTCATTATCTCTTTACGACCCTGTCGCACACAGATAAACAGTAAATAAAATAATATGTTATTAATACAATTTTAAATTATTTATTATAATGGAACGCAAAATGTCTCCTCATATAATCCTATCACTAGGAGGGACAACACACACACACAAACATACACACACACCTTATACTCCTGGCACTTGAAGCAGAGGTCAATGAGCGCGAGCAGGCAGTGCAGGCGCGCGGCCGGCAGCTCGGCCACGGCGGCGGCCAGCGCGCCGCGCTCCGCCCAGCGCAGCACCCACACCAGGCACATCAGCAGGTTGCGCGACGTCTCGCTGTTGAACGGCGGACGCCCGTTCTGGGGACATCGATTCGAATTCTCATTATTTTATGCACTATTAAATTTGTAATGGCAGTGCTGATGACATATTTGGACCATATAAAAATTGTATCGCGCCATAAGCCCCAGTTGTTTCGTAAACGCTCATCGATTCGTTTGTCTATTGCTAATATTATAAAAGTATATATGTATTGTGTTAGGAATAATATTTATATATACATAACAGTTACTTTAGATATAACTTTGGATACTTGATTACCTCCCTGCACACACACAACTGGAGTGAACACGCATGCTCACACACACGAATGATTCTTTATACATACTCGTACATCAAGTCTACAATTATGGCTGCACGACATGGCTGCAATGGCACAAGGGACTGCGCAATAATCAAAATTATTATAAAAGCTAAACCATTCGCATATTTGAGCTGTTATTTAACTAAGAGTATTGAATAGTATTCAATAATGATAATTAATACTACTAACTCTTAACTAATAGTGAGAATCTGATTAGTAGTTTTTCAAGCATGTTACATATATATTAAAACGATACTGTCCGCGTTTTTAAAAAACCTATTAGATGAACTAAATATTTGAATATTGTGCAATTTTAATAATTCGAATTTTGTACGGAACACCGCACAATAGGTAAAATAATATATTAAAACTATGTCAATTACACTAAACGTGTTGTGTTTCCTCACACATGCAATTCTCCGGCGTCTATAAATTGTTATTTTATTGGTTTACTTATCAGTGTGTTTGTGATCAATAAATCGGAGCTATTACTCGTTAGGTTTTGTTTCGTATGTATAACATTTCATTCCTACACTCTATAAATTGTACACAACACAAAATGTCTAGATACAGACCTGTTTAAAATCTTCTGGCGACGAAGGCGCGTACATATTGCCGAAATGATTCATCTCACAGTCCAGTTGTAATGTTTCTATAAAAAGAAAATACTTGATTTGTTTGAATTTAAAAATGAAATGAAAAATGACAGTTAAATAGATTTAACAACTTTTACAATTCCACCCCCACTTAGGTACTCGGAGGGTACCTAACGTTGTCCTCCAACCAGTGAGGTGTATGAGAGTGTAAGGAATATGAGATTGTAAGGAGTAGGAAGTGCGCGTTGTGTTTGTACGCTGTTATATTTCTTGCGCACAAGTCTCAGTGTGATTGGTCGCTGTGACTGAAATCGGAGGGAGGTCGTTTTTATTATAATGAATTGCACTATATGGCTAGCATTGCACTGCGAGTTTTAGGGTGCGCAGCGAAGAATTGGTCCGGTATTATGTAGCGCTTCAGTATTTTTTTTACTTTAACTACTTTTGTCAACAAGTTATAATTTGCAGTGGTAGCCCAGTGGTAACGCGCACACTTAACGGGAAACCGAGTGAATCGGGTTCAAGTCCTGGGTCTCGCAAATTTCGTATGCGAATAATTTCCAACACGATTACCACTTATCATACGGCGAAGGAAAACGTCGCGAGGACACGTGCATGTCTAAGAGAACCTAGCAATCGCGGTGGAGTGTGGGCCGACCCCGCTCACCTTTGCCGGCGTCGAAGCCGCGGTAGAGCTGCGGCTGCGCGTCCATGAGCACGCCCAGCAGCGGCAGGTACAGCGCCGCCACGCGCGCGCGCGCCTCCGCGCCCGCCAGCCGCGGGTCCGCGTCGTGCGCCGTCAGCAGCGACAGCACGGCGTTCACCGCCGCGCACTGCAGCACCGGGCTCCTGCACACACACACACACACACAATAGACACTCAATACTAATTTATGTGATTAAATTATTAAACCTTACGATTAATAAATCGCTTAGAAGTTTGGGAGTCCATCGTGCGTCGATCTTAAAAATTCTAAAAAACTATAAAATCGACCACATATACTATCGAATCGATAGTAATGACTATCTCAATAAGGTTTTTCAAAAAATATTTCATATACAGATTCGACTCAGAATTTAATTATATGTATAGATAAAAGCATACTGCAACTCCAACATCCGGCCAGTGCCGGATTCAATCAATTCGATCAAAAAATATAAGAAATGCTGCCCAAAATCAAAAGTTTGCATTAAATAGATAAAGTTTTGATAAAGTTCATTTTTTTTAATTATGAATTTTTGTCAAATGCAAGAAAATAATTTGTAAATGTTTTCAATTTTTCAAAAAAAAGTTACTACTTTTTTTTATATTCATTTTTTGGCCTTTAGTGTAAATCCAGCACTCGCCATCGCACTTCGCAGTGAGCCGACTAAACAATATTACGAACGGAATTAAAACAATAGTTGATAAAGTAAACTAGCGACTCGCCCACGCTTCGTTCGGGTTTGTCCCTAGGTACGTTTTAGCAATTAGTATGAAATACAAATCTTTGAATTTCTCGGCTTTTCTGTACTATAATATGCATATCTTATACATAGCTGATCTTCCTCTCGAATAACTCTATCTATTAAAAAAACACCGCATCAAAATCCGTTGCGTAGTTTTAAAGATGTAAGCATACATAGGGACAGCCAGACAGACAGCGGGCGCGCGAGTTCGTTTTACAGTATGTAGTGCGCGCGTACTGCAGTTCGAGCGCGGCGGTGAGGTCGGCCAGCAGCAGGCCGGCCAGGTAGTGGCGCGCGCGGAACTCGCCGGACAGCGACGCGGCCTTGCGGCGGCCGTCCTCGGAGCCGGCGGAGCGCGCGGAGGGCGCGGGGGACGCCGCGCCGCCCGCGCCCGCCGGCAGGCACAGCGACACGTAGTGCTCGTGCGAGCAGATTATGCGCAGGAACGACAGCTGGGATACAAAGACATATTATAATATAAAAAGTTATAAATATTTACTTTATATTATATTGTTCGGATATTTTAAATATAATGCACTTAGTTATGTTTATATCGATATTTATCGTCACGTTGTTCCACAGACAAACTGTGCAAACAGTTTTGTGGGTCCATTGCAAAATTAAAAGTATATCATATAGTGTAATAATAAAAAAAAAAAAGAAAAAAAAAGCTACTTATGAAAATACTTAAATTTATTTTATACTAGCAACTCACGTCGTTTCACTAGACAATCAAAGACAAATCTATCCCACGGGAACCATACATTTTTCCGAGATAAAAAGTAACTTATTTGATATTCTAATGTATGTACTATATTATTGTAAAGTTTCATTAAAAATATAATCAGTGATTTTGTGTACTAAGCTGTATAAGTTACTATAGTTTTTTAACTATCCCACAGGAAGTCTTTAATTTTCCAGGATGACAAGTATCTAAAATGTTGACCGGGGATATAAGGTACCACCATGCAAAATTTCATTTTAATCGGTCCAACAGTTTTGAAGATTAGCCCGTACAAATAGACAAAACAGGCAGAGAAATAAAAAAAAATAAAAAAAATTGGATCTGTTCTATTTCTCTTCTTACACCCCCTAACCCTTTTGGCCTGACCCTATTGATTATAGAAGCAGGCCGACGACGTGCTTATCATGAACTCGTAACACCTGCGCTGATAAACTTAATAGGATCTATACACTATGTGCATATTCTAGTCTAATAAAAAAGTGCAAATTGTTAGCGTTCGATATTAGATTTTCCATATTGGCATGCGTATATGTGTGTATACACGTGCCTGCGTGTGTGGGTGGGAATGCGTGTGTGCGTGTGCGTGTGCGCGGGTACCTTGTAGTGCACGAGCGGCACGGCGTCGGGCAGCGAGGCGATCTTGGCGCACATCTGCTTGTGGTAGCCGCGCACCAGCGCCAGCGCGTAGCCGCGGTCGCCCACGCTCAGCAGCTCGAACAGGAAGAACGCCAGGCTGTTGTTCAGGCTCTGCGTCAGCCGGCCGTTCTTGCCGTATCTGAGGAGATTGGTGATAGACGAACGTAAGTCACCAGATTACCGCGAATTCATTCCGAATTTAATTTTGTATTTTAGAGTCAAAATAGTGAAATAAAACATTCAATACGACATAGAAAAAGTTTTATAGTTCAAAATTTACTATTTAATCCTCTATAAGCATAAATAAAATTGTAGCTTATAGCATAAGATATAAGCTATGTACCTATGTCCAATCTGAATTTAATACAAATAGTTGTGCACTTATACGCAATTCAAATTTCGTCCAAAACCGTTGCAGTGCAGAGATTGGAGGGAAGGGAGAGGGATTTTTTCGCTCGCGATTTATTTTAATTTTTGGTTCCCATAACCACGTACGATTGTGGGAACCAAAAATCAAAATAAATCCGCGAAAAAATCTGAAAAGATAGTTTTATTTAAAATGTCAAATGTTCTCGCAAATCTAAGAATGTAAGACAATTTATATGGTCCATCCCTTCTAATTAGTAAGTAACAATCTCACTTGGATATGATCTCGGCGGTGACGTTGTTGACGAGCGTGCTGAGGTCGTCGGTGAACTGGTCGGGGAAGCGCGCCTTGCGCGGCGCCTCGTGCGCGCCGCTCCAGTACAGGTACTCCACCATCGACTTCATCATCAGCTCGAACAGCGCCCTGGTTATGGGGATATATTCCACTTTTACAGTCGGAACATTTTCTTCTATGCATATAAATGATATGTTAGATTGTTTCCATTTTTTTATTTTATAAAATCTTACCAAGAGTTCTGCATGGCCAGGTCCCTGGTGGCGCCGCTGGCCACCACCCACTGCAAAGCTAATTCCTCGTGCAGAATCTTACAGGAACCATCTGTCAGAACTGAACAAAGATATTATAGTGTAAATGTGTGTTGTCAATTTTCCTATACATTTTTCATGATTGTTAATTTTTCTTAGTTATTATTGTAATTAAAAAATGACGGCAAATTATTTTGTCGGCGTCGCACGTTTAGGTAGCTCAATAAAATGCTTCGAACATTGTGTTTGACCTATTATAGATGAAGAAGTGACAAATATACTATTTTACTTTCACGAATTTTCGCACTTAAATTTAATACGTAACGCTTATTTTCTAACCATAATGTAACATTTGCTATATACATATATATACATAGTATAAAACAAATTCGCTTCCTGCTGTCTGTCTGTCCCTATGTATGCTTAGATTTTTAAAACTACGCAACGGATTTTGATGCGATTTTTTTAAAAAGATAGAGAGATTCAAGAGGAAGGTTTATATGTATAATACATGTATATTATAGTACAGAAAAGCCGAGAAATTAAAAGATTTGTATTTCATACTAACTTATGTACTATACTACTTACGTATTAGATATATAGATTTAGACGTGGAACTTGAATCTGCTACATCTATCGCTGTACATAATAGGTAGCGTTTCATAATTCTTAAGGCTTAAACTAATTAATATAATTGTACCATTTAAAATATTTCAATAAATATTATCAATGAAACTCACCTAATTCAAATTTAATAGTACATTTTTTGAACGATCACTATTTACGTGTAACTACATACAAATAGAATTTTCTAAAGAAAAAAACTGAAAAAGTGTTTTACCAGACGGCGGTAGCGGCAGGCCTATGTCCCTGTCGGAGAGCGAGGGCCGCGGGATGCGGCACTGGTACTGGATGTAGGTGCTGATGAGGCTGCTGCGGCCGTGCGCGTCGCACGTGGCGCCCTCGTTCATGTTCTGTTAACATGTTACGTGTTGTAATAATAAAACTTACTTTAATAAAAAAAACTGTCTATTTAATAATAACAATAAACTTTTACTCTTCTGTTAAGAAATTGTCAGTAACAGTTCCGTGCTCCAGAGAGCATATATCAGTCCTGCTCTTGATACTTCACCGCTTGTGTCAAGGTATCGTCCCATCGGACTTGTGAGAGTGAGAAGGAATACAGAGCACGTCATATTTGAACACAATATTTCCTATACGTTTGACCAGGCCTATTGTATCGGTGAGGATGACACAATACACGCCAGTTCTTCTCAGGTCTGAGGCTTCTTCTTTCCGAACTGGTTCTTCCGAAAATGTAATAATTAAATTAAATGCTGAATGAAATATTTTGATTTGATTTGATATATGACAAACTAACAGTAATATCGGTGAAGAGATGCGCGAGGCAGGTGAAGACGTCCTGCGCGATGTTGAGCGTGACGCCGGCGAGCGCGGGCGGCGCCGCCAGCAGCTGCAGCAGCTTGTCGCACAGCACCGGCAGGTAGCGCGCCAGCGCCTCCACGTTGGCCGTCGGCAGCTCCGCTATGCTGCGGGCGGTTGAACAATCATACCGTTACGAGGTAAAAATTTAATACTTAATTAGACTGTTACAATAATATGAATTACATCACTGTATTAAACTGTATGCCAAAAACAATACGAATTATAGCCTGTGGCTTCGCTCTCTTGGTAGATAATAATAATAAGTAATAGATTTAAATTAACAAATCAGTATCTGATGCAGGAAACGAACCTATTTGAATTCCATCCAAATCCGTGCAGTGGTAACAGCGTACAAGTAGCCAACATACACACATATACAGACAAACTTACGCGTATACATTAATAATCCGATTGTTAACATCATATGACATATTATCGATAGTCACCTGGCGCGCAGCTCTGCCTCCATGTTGGCGAGTCCGATCCTGGGCGGGATGTTGCCTTCCTGCACAGCCTCCACCGCCATCGCGAACCGCTCTATATAGCTATCCTGTTTATATATATATCAAAATTAATATTTTTACAAGTTATTGAGATTCGTTAGAACCATATACTCGTAGTAAGTCAGTATTAAAATAATGGGGTCTCAACTGTGTCCCAAGTAGGCAAACTGCGTTTTACTTAATTTAAGTTTCGATAATTTTACAGATGATTAAAATTGATGATATTGTACTGAGAACTCATCTACGAGAGTTATTTGCCATGTTTATTTATTTATTTATGTTTATTGGTCCACAAAACAAATGACAATCAAACACATATAAAATAAAAATAGCTTGCAAAATGTTAATATAGTTAAGCAACTGAATTTTATTTTATTATATATTTTCTCATTTTAGTTTAAATACATTTTAAAAAATACTTCTAGTTAACGAGCCAACACCATCTATCGTTTGTACTCGTATAAGCAAAAAAAAATTGCTCAAAAATGGTCCGAATTGTTGCCAATATCTTTGTCTTACAATTGCCTTTGTGGCTAACAGATACTTTGGCAAATCCGGAACTTGTGGGTTTGATTCCCGGTCGAGCCAAGAAGAAAGAAAAAGATAAAGACAAGAAAAATTCACTGGCTACACATTAAGTTTTTCTGTAAAGAAAATCTCAGTAACAAGCTCTAAGAAATTTGTTGGACTTTCACCTCCATGTCTCGGAGAGCACGCGTCGATGTCATATCTCAATAGTCGTGTCGAATTATTGTCGGAGTAAGTCTAACAGCTTAGATAGGAAGAAATAAGTAGTGCACGTTATGTCTGCGCGTAAACTTGTTCACTATAATATCCCCCGTACAGTTGGATAGGCTCAGTGGACATGATTAGTGTGAGCGACCTGCGGGTGCACGGTGGTGTGGGGTTCGAGCGCGACGGTGAGCACGGGGCGGTGGTTGTCGATCCAGCGCGTGCCGGGCAGCTGCACGTCCGGCGAGATGTACGAGTAGTTGGGCGGCGGCGGCTCCTGCAGCGCCGGCAGCGAGAACTCGCCGCTCGTCAGCTTGCCGTTGCGGCACAGCGGCAGCCACTGCGCGAATACCCGATAACTAAGGTTAGTACTAGTTCTTCCCCATGTTAATGTAGGATAGAAATCATCTCCATTCCAAATTTTACTCAAAGTAAAGAAAGTATTAAAATTTAAAATCTGTTTTTCAAGCAGAATAATTTCGCTTTAGGAATTATTAATTGAATTTAAAAACACATTATTCCTTTGTGTAATTTTTTCTGTTATATCGTTACCACTTACTAATTGTAAGATTATAATATATAGATAGATATTTAAGTAAGAACTATATATGTATATCTATGTTTTTAGACAAAATAAAATACCCACGTGTGATTTATAATAATAACCATATTATATAAAATGAGGTCATAAAATTTTACACGATACCAAAATCTAAATACTCATCGTTATAATGAACGTCCTTTTTCACAACTACGTCTAATCACTAGTTAATAGAAATAGATAGAAGATTCAGGCGAGAAAAACTATTATTTTTATTTTAATAGAAAAAAATATTCCTGTTGACTTGATAAGAACAGCTCAATTCTATAGAGAAGGCTCTTTTTTATTATTATTAATAAAAAAAACGAGTAAATTATTATAAAAAGTAACATTAAATATAAAGTTTAGATGTTCCAAATCGCCCAAACATTTTTTTTTATATCTTTCCAACTATATAAATAACACTCACCGAATACCCGAGCACAGTCTCGACGCTCTTCTCCATCTCAGGCGCGACGGGCTTGCGCTGGCACGCCACGTGCAGGAACGTGAACAGCAGGTGGTGCTGGTCGCCGAGGTCGGCCGGCAGCTTCAGCTTGATCTCGTCGTACAGCGACGGGTTCCTGATCATGGAAATGTTATGTTGGGACCAACGAGAATTGTTCAAAATGGCCGCCGAAATATAATCCTATTTTTAATTTTTTTAGATCAGGGATTCCCAAACTATTTTAAACAAGAGACCCGTTTTCCAAAATGAACTGATGATACCTCATACCCCAAAGCCAAATTAATTAAAAAAAATCCTATTTCTAGTTTTTTCCTTAGTTTTAAGTGCAACAATAATACTAAAATATTAGTCATTCTTATAACAAGTTAGTACACGTAACACAACTTATACAGTATCTTGAGAGTTTCAAATAAAAACTTGTGTTAATTAATAGGGGTTGATTTTTAGATCTCGTCCCCCCCCCAAAATCAGTTTTCGTTTATGCCAACCCCTGGGAAACCGATATCGACCCAATCTCTGCTTTAGATTCTATCTTATCTTAATAATCATTTATTTCTCAAAGACTTAAATAAGCTAAACAATAAGCTTATTTAAGTCTTTGAGAAATAAATGATTTAAATATACATACTTTTCTTACTATAAAACATGCATTACATATCAATATGTTATTACATAACATTAACTCTTACTTATTATGATAGAGCACAGTGGTGTACGCTTCAGTGCTGAACTCCGGGCATGAGCTTCTTCCAAATATAGCAGGCAAAGCTGCCGACTGCTCTTCACCAGCCATTAATTGAATCCGTACCTTTGAACACATATCAAATGAAAGTATTTATTCACTAAATTCAAGATATAGAGATAATGAAAGAAAAATAAAGAAAGGGAGACAGACAGATTCAAAGATAGAGAGATAGAGATTCACGGTGAAGCAGCGCGTGAAAGTCACTCGCGAGGCATACGTGACAGCTTATTCTGATAAGTTTGTAAATATCTTTGTCAGAATAGGTATATTTAACTAATAGATTATAGGCTGATACCAATATTCAAACTCCGATCTAGATAGAAATCGCGCCAATTGAAGGTAGGATTCTACATCTCGATTGATCCTCGATCTGCGTTTCAATACAACAATCTTCAAAAGCCGATCGAGTTTTGACGAGCGATTGTAGATCAATCTGTACCCTCCTGTGCGTTCCATTCTAATCAGTATTTATGTGACTGTATATTATCCATATTGTAAATTTGAGAGCATTTGCTATATTTTAATTATATTGAATTTCCCATTTAATATAACCTTGAAGACCAGATTATATTAGAATTTTCTAAATATAATGTATTTTATGAAATAATACAACTTCAAAAATTTACTAAGATTGAGACCGGAATTTGAAACGTCACATTCAATGTCATGTCAACTGCTCAATCTAACGAACTCGCACTGCACCGCACTTTTTGTTTGTTTTGTTGTTTGTCTGGATATCTACTGGTGTCTACTATGTACAGATGTATTTTTGATAGATACGCTGAATTAATTTCATTAATAATGGAAAGTGGACAGTAGAAAAGAGAGTTTGAATATTAGACAAAGAGAGAGAGAGAGGAGGGGGTATGAGAGAGAGTCGCTTAAGAATTTGAGGGAGAGGACCGGAGAAAAAGAAAAAGAGACTCTTAGAGAAAGAGTGGGTCTCACAGTGATATTCCTGGCGGAGGCGACGCGCGAGGCGTAGGCGGCGAAGTTGAGCTCGCGCACGCTGAGGTACAGCAGGTTGCGGTAGTGCGCGTGCGGCAGCGCCGGCGCCGCCAGCGGGAACGCCAGCACCTCCTTGCACGGCCGCACCTTCTCCTCCGCTGCCGCAACACACATACGTACATACTTACTTAAACATTTAACACATATATGCTATAAATATTATAAACAGGGCTGCCAGTAGAGATAACTATGTTATACCGCTGGTGTCACTCAAATTATACCAAATCAAATTTTATTATACAAATTAACAAAACCGTTGATAAATAGTCTGTGATGAATAAAAAATTTCAATAAAAATACGCAATAACTTAAAATAAAACATACATAAAAGAACCATATTTTACAATTTTCGTATCCGATTATACGATCTGGCAGCCCTGATTATAAATGTGAAAGTTTGGATGGATGGATGTTTGTTACACAATCACGCCAGAACGGCTGAACGGATCTAGATGAAATTTGGCACAGATAAAGATTATAGTCTGGAATAACACATAGGTAGTTTTAATCCAAGAAAAATGTACAGTTTTCGTGGGATATTCATACTAACTGTGATAAACGTTTTTATAACAAACTCTAATAACGGGTATACTCGTTGGCGCTTGCAAGTTCTCAAATTTCATCACCAATGAATACTTTAAAGATATATATTAATTATTCTATGTTTACAAGCTGTGCTTTTAATGTTATCAAGATCAATTCTTTTAAAGGTTTCCAACACAACACTTATAAAAGTGTGATATGATCCTGCAGTTGCTGTATGACTTATAGTTGATTAAGTTCAATCCTTAAATTCAATTCTGCATATATGGGAAGAATTTAGAATTTCTTCAGATATACATCTACATAATAAACCGTATCAAGTCTTGCGAACAATCTAACAGTCAGTCTAACTCAGCACTATAGCAGAACGATTCCGAAGTATACAACCTGTGTAGGATAAACATGGTTCTAAAACAGCTCAATAAAGGCATCAGGTGCGAGGTGTTTGTGTGTCAATTTTTTTAAAATGGCTGATGAACGGATTACATGAATACTTTACAAAAATATATAAAGATAATTCTCACCACTATACGGCGCTAGTTTCGCCAGCTCTGGGGTAAGACCGTTTTTGATTTCATCAGGACATGGAGAGACCTCTATTTTTAAAGTGCCGGGTATACACTTGAGTTTCTTAGGCGCGGAGCTCGGCCGCTTGATTTCTGCTAGGAACTTGTACAGATCTTCATCACGCAGTTTATCAGTCTCCTGTTAAAAATGATGTTTTTTTTATGTTATGTTTTTTTTATATTTTAAATAACATAATTACGTGATAAATCTTAAACATTTTGCATATAGGTACGTGCATTTTAAGTAAAATACACGTATATGCAAAAATCTATTCAAAAAGTCAATTATAAAACTATTATAAAGTCAAAAGATAAAAATGAAGTAAATTTTTTTAAATGTTTTTATAAAAAGAGCAATTCGTTGAAGATAAATTAATATACGTGGAATATGGAGATTTAACTTATCTTATTAAAAATAGTGTGTGACCTGTTTAAAGAAGCTGGTGACAGTGATGACGATGGGCTTGAAGCAGTCGAGCAGCGCGTGCAGCTCGTCGGGCGGCGGCGCGCGGCGCTCCATGCTGCCCTTGCGCGTCAGCGAGCCGCCCACCTCGCCCGCGCGCCGCCGCAGCTGCTCCAGGCTGGACGACGACGCCTTGCGGTCTGCACACGGCATATACATACATACATACATACATAGGTCATACTTTATTGTACATTAGGGTAGACCGTAAAAATATGTTTTTCTTTTCTTAGCCTATATATTCTATCCCCAAGAATTTTTAGCTTATAAATAACATTTTTTTTGAAATAACAAAAAAATACTCAACATTTTGAACTGGCGCATTGATTTTTAGAATAATTAATTAAAATTTTTGATTTGATTGAATTTTTTTTTCGACGATAATCTTTGAAAACATTCCAGAATTGACGAATATAGTCATTTTCTACCGTACTTTCACTGTAATATGGCATTATTGCTATTTTAAAAAAGTTGAAAAAAAAAACATGTTACTTTTTTATATTACATTGTACACCACAAAAGAAGAAATAAACAAATAGATGTTGCACAGGAGGCGGCTTTATTTCGGATATTTTGGTTTGCTTGAATTAATAATGACATTGGTCCGCAACCTTTAGAAACATTTATTTTATAAATATACATACGAGTATGTATATAACCTTAAAAATGTTACCTATTACAAAATTCATGCATTTAATTTAACAAATTTTAGTAATAGTGTGGTTTTTGTTATTTTTACACAAACTTTAGTAACAAAACTTTACATATACTGCCATCTATTTACATTTATTTGAATTATCTCTCGATAGCGTTGATCAGTAGACTGTCAAACTATTTAATATTTAAAATACATATGTAAAATATATCAAACATTATTTCGCTATTAATAAAAAAAAATCTGTTGCTTTAAAAGTTTTTAATTTAAGTAAGAGTAAGAACAGCATAATGCGTATCACATGTAACATAACATCGATGAAATCATCAAAAAACAAACATCATAAAATTCTCCTAATTCTTTAAACTAAAATAAATTTGATATCGATTAAATTAATACAAACAGCTAATAACGCCATCTATCGACATATTAAGGGACTAACATTTAACATAGCACATACCCAGGCTGTTGGTGTTGGCGGGCGCGGCGGCGGGCGCGGGCGCAGGCGCGGGCTCGGCCTCGCGCTCCAGGCTGCTGCAGCCGCTGAGGATGTGCAGCAGCGACACGGCGCTCCACGCCAGCGGCATGCGGTAGCGGCCCAGGCGCGAGCACGCCGCCTGCGCCTGCGCACGCACCTTCTCGCGGTTCTGTCCCCGTTGTGTTATTATATTATTATATATACTATACTAGTATAAAGTCACAATAGACCAGGAATGTTCGCAGTAACTTCATATAGGCGCAAAAATGATATGTGTTCCCACTGTGCAGAGTGTGCCTCAGAGGAGATGAAACTCCAGCTGACATACTGATAAAATAAATTACCTAAATACTCTTAGCCGGCGAGACTGATAGTCCTCTATGCAGAGGATTTTTCAGTGCCGAAGAATCAGTCATCCACGTAATCCTGGAATGCGAGGCAGTGGCTCATCAACGCAAAGAAATCTTTGGATCAGTCACTCCGCAAAGCCTGTGATGTTTACAGGAAACTTCTGCGCTTCTGAGCGGAATTGGGCTGGCTAGGTTAGCCAGGATTCAGGACGCACAATAGACTAATTTAGAGTTTAAGTACGGCAAATTGAGTTCAGCTTACATTACTTAAATACTTCATCAAAGGAATTTGCTAAAATTGACCATTAACATCAAGAACGCTAGTTCTTATCCCACCCATAAAGTAAAAAAAATATATAGAAAATACGTTTACCTTATCATCCTTGATATACGGCTCGACACATTCATTGACATCCCCCTGCAGGACCTTTTCCACTCTAACCACCAGAAACACATCGGGGGAAGGGTTCAGGATGTCGAACACCGCACTACGGCTGAGCGTGGAGAGGTCGGCGTGAGGCACGTGAGCTGACAGCATCTGACGAGTGGCTTCCGAGTTCAGGTTGAAGTAGAAGTTCTCCGAGAGCTTCTTCTTTTCTTTTGCATCGTAGAGCGCCATTGAGGCGAATAGTGGCTCCACGTCTAGTTCTAACCTTTTGATGATTGATATTTAAAATGTTTTAATTGCAATAGTGTAAATTGTTAATATTCCATTTTTAAAAACTATATTTTTTAATCTATTGTATTAGTAGTAATGAGTGCTATCGTTTCTGGTTGCACCAGTTGGCGCTACTGGCGAGTAAGGTCCTATCGCTGTTGTAGAAAAAGTATATGATAGGGCGTCAGGGCAAATAAATTTTAATATAATAATAATTGTTAAAATAAAATATTGACTTTTCTTAGCTCTTCTTTTAAAACACTTAATTAATCAGAAATGGCACAATCCTTACAAAAATTAAGAAAAATTAGTAAAAGTCTGCGATGAAAAGCTCGCAAAAAATAAACGTTTAGTAACATTTGACATTTGTAGAGACCTCACTCCACACCAGCGCCTCTCGCGGCGAATTTAAGCGCGGTAGCCCTTATTGAGGCCATTTGAGACTCCAATCAATATGTTCATATATTGGTTTGGTTTCATCTACAGATGTACTTGTACATGAATACGTCTAAACTTACTTTAATTGATGGCACACAACCAAAATCCTATGTCCCATCACTTCACAGGGCATTTCAGCTGCTAGCCTCCTCTCCACCGCTTCGTCTTCATCGAGATATGGCGCATACAATCCCAGAAGATCACTTTGACGATTCTCCAGTCTGAACAAAAATAATTTGTAAATAAATACTATATCACACAATTTTATTAAATTAAATAATATATATTTTATTAAATTAAATAATATTAAATAATATAGTAACAAAAAATACAATATTCTATTCTTTAAATGTGAACTTAACACCGTATCATGGATATATAGTAACAATAAATATTCCAAAAAAAAAAGAACAGCACAAAAATATATTCAAAATCTCTTTTTAAATGTGAAATAATAAAGCAAAATTAAAAAAATAATGAATTTTACCTTTTAGCTTCATTAATGGCATCCACTTGTTCCGGAGGTTTCTTCTCAAACACATCAGGTAACAAAGGATCTGAGGAAGAGCTTCTAAGATCGAGGCTGGCCCATGACCCTCGTGGCGTGAGGGTCTCGTTGCATGATGAGGATGAGGATATCGAGGCTACCGACTGACGCCCACTTGAAGGCTGAGATTCGAACTGTAATTGAAGATTTATAAGTTTGCTTTTAAATTTTAAATTTTTACAATATGGTGGTACATTGACGTATATCTATATAAAAAATATTTATTAAAAAAATAAGTTTTGTAAAATAGCTAAAACCTTATCATCATATGTATATTAAATATGAAAGTTCTTACTGCGCTGAGTGTGTTCGAGCTAGTTTCAAAAGGAAAACTAGTTTCAGGTAAGCTATCATACCGATATTTGTGAATTAAGTCAGATTTTTTTTCCATCTGAGAGTACCCTAGGAGCAGCTAGTAGTAGTAGAATTAATTTTATATTAAAACCTTTTGTGGAAATTAGAATATTCTATAATAAGTTTATCCTTTAATAATATCTTCCATAAGAAATTCGTGAACGGAATGAAATCGCATAAATATTTAAAAAAATAAGCATTGAAACAGTCAGAATTACATATACGACTAATAAATCTCTAGCTTGGTGACTTACCTTCGCCTCGCACGAGTGGACTCCTGGGTTCGGTACCCAGGAGTGCAATAGCTTATGTGTAACTCCAGCGCAGTCTATCTATGCCCTAATTTCATCCCAGGTCCAGCTAATTCAACGTGAAGAAGTAAACAAACAAACATACATACATAAATACAAACGTTCGCATTTATAACAGTTGTCCGAATTTACCTGCTGTGAAGCCAACTCTTCCATAGAAGTGGAATTTTCTGCATCTATTTCATACTGTTGTGGCGGCGCGGCCAGCAGTTTGTCGAGCCGCTCGGCGAGCTTCTCGCGCCCGTTCGCCGAGCCCGAGTACATACGGTATTTGTACTCCACCACCGTGTAGTCTGACGTGTAGCAGGCTATGCAGTCGCGGACGAACATTGGTGCTTTGGATCTAGAGAGCCCAAAATACAATTTATGTACGTGTACTAATTACTTTTGGCACGCGATTCCTCTCGCATGGTAGGTATATTTATACATATAATAAAATTCTCGATTCTATGGTTTTTAGAATTTTTGTCTGTCTGTGACCGCATTACGAGAAAACCACTGAACAGATTTTGATAAAATTTGGTATGATGGTAGGTGGTCACCTAGGTTAAAGTATAGGATACTTTTTACTGCGCGAAAATATCTCATTTCTGAGAAATCTATACTAAACGTTAAAACGTAACTATGGACGAACCCGAGCGCAGCGAGGGTGAGTCGCTCGTCGATAATAAAATGCTTATAAAGGCATTGTCTACTCGAATTTAATTTAAATCTGTTGAGCTGTTTTATAATGAGTACGTGGGTGACCTAGCTTTGCTCGGAGTTTTGGCCAAAAGTACAATTTTCTTTTTTTTTAAAAAAACAAAAAACTTGAAAAATACAAAAAAAAAAAACAAAAGTAAAAACTTTGTATACGACCGGGATTTGAGCCCGGATATCTGTGTTTGTCAATCTTGCGCCTTGGCCGCTTGACCACGATGCTTATGTCCGAGCGTACGAAATTAGCGACCATTTTTGCGTGGAATAATGCGAAAGAAAACCGCATGAAAATTCGAAAACACGTTTTCCCAGACATGATGATGATGTTCTCCTGACCGATTTCGGCCACGGCGGCCAATCTCATTGAGACTAGCCAACTACGCAGGAGATATTATAGTGCACAAGTGTACGCGCAGACACAACGTGCACTCTCTATTCCTGTCACTCTCATACTCCGGTGGGACGACACGAGACACGACCAGTGAGAGTTAAGGCGCAGGACCGACGGCTTTACGTGCTCTCCGAGGCACGGGGGTGATACACCGCCAACTTCCCAACTCCGGGCTGTTACTGAGGCTAACTGAAGCTATACAGAAAGACTCAATAAATAAACTTGGCCCGACCCAGGACTCCAACCCAGGACCTCCGGGTGTGCAGCCGTACTTGCTAGCCACTACACCACTGAGGCAGTTCCCAGACATAAGACTAATCCAGATCGATTTTTCGCCCCCGAAAACCCCTACAGACCAAATTTCAGCAAAATCGTTTGAGCTGTTTCCGAGATCGCCCGTATAAGTAAATAAATATACAAGAATTGCTCGTTTAAAGGTATAGTACCTGGGCTACCGAGCTTCGCTCGGAGTTTTTGGCTTAAAGTACAATTTTCTTTTTTTTTTGAAAACTAAAAACTTGTATAATTATTAAAAAAAACAAAAGTAAAAACTTTACATGCGACCGAGATTCGAACCTACACCTGTGATTGTTGATCTTATAATATTTATATACCTGCATTTTAGTAATAAATATACTATTTTTTTACAGTTTTAAAAATCGAATGTAGTTAAATTTATTATTATTAATTAATAATTAATATTATTTATTATTATTAATACCATAGAATAGATTTATTTTACACTAGCAGATCACACTCGCTTCGCTCGGGTTCGTCCCTAGGTATGTTTAAATAGATATAAATACTTAGTTATTTAGCCATGTATTTTTTTTTCGTAATTTATTATAATAAAGAAAATGTTTTAGTAGTTGTTCTGCTATTCGGGGCGGAGACAGAACCAACAAATCAAAGATGATCAAAATCGGTCCAGCCGTTCTCGAGTTACGTGTTGTAACAAGCCTGACTTTGTTTTATATATATAGATTATACTTACAGGTCTTCGTCAGGAAGCACATGGGTCAAGGTTCTAATGCGCCGCGGGACGGTCAGCAGCTCGATATCGTTGGCGGGGTAGGCGAGGGGGTCCCGCTCCCCCATCAGCCTGTCGCATACCTCCTCGTAGTCCGGTGGCTCGATCATATCGGAGAGAGATATCTATGGTATAAGTTTTGATAATTAAATTACAATATTTGATTTATTAAATAGATACGTCGTAGTATCATGCCTGACATATTTCTTTGATGCCTCTTGTATTATCATGCAGTGGAAGCTCAGCGGCAATGCAGCCTCTTGAGAAACAGGTAAAGCAGGTTAAAGCCAGGTTTTGGACCCTTGCTTGAGTTTTCATAAGCTAATAATTTTGAACACAATTACCACTCGCCTTACGGTGAAGGAAAACATAGTAAAAATTGCATGCCTGTGAGATTCTTACAAGTTTTCGAAAGACATGTGAAGTTTGCTAACCCACAAATATCGTTTGACATTGACTTTAGCTTAATCCCCCTTACATAGAAGGGAGGTATACATTGGAGAGAGGTGTGTCGAGCAGTAAAAGGTTAAAATGGCCAAATTATCATCTTTTTTTTTTTTTGCAATGAAATTTAAACAAGTCATTTATGTTAAAGTTATTTATATAATGTTATTGTTATTTTATATTTTATTGTGTATGTATTATCATATATTTTATTTTTGGTAATTCGCTTTTAATTTTATTTTACTATGTATGTATAATTACATAATGTAAATTATTTTGTATTTTATGCAGATGCAGCATTTGTTTTAAAATTCATAATGCATGGAAACTACACTAGCAAACCAATTATATAATTTACATTTATATAGCATTTTTGGCCATGTCAAATTCATTATAGGAATTTTGATAACTTTGAGATAGGTATGTAAATAAGGTTTTACATATATTTTTCACATTTTACAGAACAATTAAGACATTAACTCCTTAAAGCCTTACTAATCATTATAAGGTTTTAATAAAAATGAAATATGATGGATTATTTAATGTTTATTTTTAAAACAGCAGTATTTTATTTATTAATATGGTAAGCCCGGAGTAAGTATTTTGTTAGTTGTAGAAGAGTACTAATATTTTAAAAGAAATATTAATACAGATATAGATTTAATTTTATTAGTTTTGCTCCTTTCAGATGTAAAAAAAAACATTTTCTTTTAAAAAGTAATTAAGAATCAAGAATATAAAATGGAATGGTTAACTAATTTAAAGTTATACATAAAAATAAATTCATGCAATATTAATAAATTAATAATCTAATAATACACATACTTCAAACTATACAAACATACATTATTATCATGCAGCAATTATTGCTTCTTACATTTATAGAAAAAGGTTTCATTTATTTGATAAAGTTGATGGGTAGGATATATGTTATTGATTAAATAATATTATTAATGCTTGTTTTTTCCAAAGCTAATATGTCATCTATACAGATAAATAAAATTGGAGTGTCTGTTTGTAATGTCAAAATAACATAGTTTTACTAAATGCATATGAAATTATATACGGTACTTATAACAAAAACACAATTTTCTACATTTTTGTCTGTCTGTCCGGATGTGTGTTTGGTCCAGATAATCTCTGAAATGGCTGGACTGACTTTGACGGGCCTTGCACTGGAAGATAGCTGGTGTTATAGGGAGTGACATAGGCTACTTTTATTATAGAAATAGAATTAGGGTTCCATGCAAAAAATTAAAACATATCTATAATAAAATAATAAATAAGAATATATAGTCAAATGTATATTGGTAATAATGGTAAGGTTAAGGTATATGTTGCAAAGGCAACAATATGAAAATAACCGCAAGCTACGATTAAGGGCAGCAGTGATTCACAGGCATGCATTACCGATTACTAATCACTCTTCACTTACAGAAGAAGAGCACCCTGAAAGAGTTCCAACCTTCGACTGGCTAGCATACACCTTACGAGCGTCCCCCGCATTCCTATAAATAGGGAAAAATCAATCTTCCACTTATTAATACTCGCACCCAAGGTTCATGCATGGTTAAACAGTTACTCCCATACGAGGATTAGAGATTCATTTACCCGGAAGAATTCTGGTATTTTCGTCCCAGAGTCATCTAAAAGTAGATCAAAAATCACAAAAATATGTAAAGAGTTAAAAATTACAACTTCTTTCACTGTTATTTTGTTAACACATTAGATATTGTTTACGGAAAATACAAACTTGAATGTTTGACAATTAAAGTATTTGACAGTTGACATTATCTAGTTCAATAACCGATAGTTCCGACTTTTACGTTTTAAAATTGTAATGATAAAAATTATCTATAATCCATTTAAAAACAAATAACATACATGATATTCATTATATCTGTTTATTATAACTTATCAACTTATAAAATCGGCCATTCAATATCGTTAAAAAATCCAGGAAGTAAAAACAATATTGAAACCTAAAGTTCTTTAAACGAGTATTATACTCAAATGTTTAACACTATTTTTAATGATGGATATCTTTTAATAATTAATGATTATTACTATTATTATTATAATATTATTAATACGTACATTAGTTTAAACATAAATTAGTACTTGGTTTATTTAGATTCTTTTTGCCATTCCCGAATATCCTGCAGAAAATATTTTTCAAGCGAAATTATATAGATTGTAAATACAGTAAAAATATTTAAATTGTAGGTATATAATATATTTAAAGTGGAAGAATACCGCAAACTAAGGAAATGAAATGTAACTATACAGATAAATAAAATTGAAGTGACTGTTTATAATCTCAGAATAACAGCTTTTTACTAAATGTATAAGGAATTATATACGTTATTTATAAGAAAAACACATTTTTTTAATTTTTGTCTGTCTGTTTGTTTGTTCCAGCTAATCTCCGAAACGGCTGGGCTGATTTTGACGGGACTTTCACTGGCAGGTAGTTGATGTTATAAGGAGTAACTTAGGCTACTTTTATTTCAGTAAAAGAATTAGGGTTCCGATTAAAAATAATAATAATATAATTTCTTGACAAGTTAAAAATCAGTAAATATATCATTGAGGATAATAATGACTTATACTTTAATAATCACGATATGTTAATATATTTGAACAAAACATGTGAATAGCGCCTTTAAATTCAAACGATAAAAAGTGAACTTCTCGAAAAATGTTATTTAAGAGGTATTGGCACTTCGCCGTCGATACCATCTTACGAACTTATCGTCCCGTTTCTGTGTAAACCTCGTATCTACAAAATCTTAATTTTCAGTAAATCGATAAAAACGTTTAGAGTTACTTAATTGTCATAAAAAGTTATAACTAATTTAAAATTTATACTCTTTAGTTATCACCTTAAAATAATTAAACATCATTTTTGCTATCTGCATTGATACCTTGTTGTTATTATCAATTTAACGTAGATACGAGTTTTTTCATCAAATACCCTGGTAACTTTTTTGCAGATACGAGGTTTTGATATTAATTTTTTTTTTCTATAAGATCATTGACGAAAAATTTTGTTATGCAAGGCTTTCACATTCAATTCATTATTATTTTATATAATTGATCATAGAAATTATGATAATCTTGGGGTAGCAATCTTTTCAAACTTTGCAAATCTTTGAATTTTCTTGATGTAATAGAAATCGTTTTTATATAACGGAGTTACGAGGTTTACACAGAAAGGGGACGTTATGGTAAATAGATATCAGTGCGAACTTATGGTACAATAAGTGAAAATATATTTATAAAAAATAAATATAAACATTTTAATTGAGAATCGTGATATATGGAGGCAAGTGCGTTAGATTTATTTGTTATTTGACGTACTTTCTCTCACATTGAATGTCATCTGATTCCGCTTAATTACACATCGCATGTCTAGATGTCGTAAATATAAGTTAATGTATTGACGAACTTTGTGTTCTTCATTGCCTTTGAGGTGACAAATAAAAAATGTAGGTCTCGTGTGGCCGAAGCCACTGCCACGCGAACCTGCTAAATCCAATTAGTGCTGCTATAGAAGCGATATTATTACAAACCATTTTAGTTCTTCAGACTTCAGAAATAAGAACTACAGAGATGTGGGATACTCTCGTCAAATATAGAAAGAGATTATCGTTATACGCAGGCTTGCCCGTGATTCGTTAACGCACGGTCGCGCGTAGCCGGACACGTGACTGCTTCAGACTTGTCCATTAAAATATTTATACGTTTTTAATCATTTAAATTGCGCAAGGACATCGACATATTTTTTAAGTAATTTCTGCTTGTAATATTTATATCCAATTGTTTTGGCAGTAGCGAAATCTCTCGTTCACATGTATCTCTCTCCCTCTCTCTCTATGGGTAACCACAGGTAGTTTGATAGATTATATGGATGATGTAAGTATACAAGCGTAGTATACGATTATAACATGACGATTGCTGAGTAGGTGGGTATACAGTATTTACCCCAATTGTTATTAGGTTGATTAAAGTATTTCTCAGAAGAAAATAAAAGTAGGATCACAATAAAACAATAATTTAACACTAACTTAAGTTATAATTGAGAAGCTTTGCCCGCGTAGTTTAATTTGGAAGTATAAGTAATTGCTTTGCTCCTAAATATCGTAATTAAATTAAGTAGAAAAAGTAAACGAACGAACTATTCAGTTGGATACATATGTATATTAGTATAGCTAGCGGATCACCCTCGCTTTGCTCGGGTTCGCCTTAAGAAAGACAAAAACAAATCTATCCTACGGGAACCGTACAATTTCCGGGATAAAAAGTAGCCTATGTGTTATTCTGATGTATGAGCTAAATTATTGTAAAGTTTCATTAAAATCCATTTAGTAGTTTTTGCGTGAAAGACTAACAAACATCCATATATCTATCTATACAGCCAGACATCCATACATCGTTACAAACTTTCGCATTTATAATATTAGTATTTCGCATTTATAATATTGATGATGGCAATAATAATGTCGATTTTAGCCAAGGTGATCAATGTCATTGAGAAGTGAGACTACCCAATAGCACAGAAGATATTAGAGTGCACAGATACCTACTATGTGCACAGGTATGTGCACAAATACAAGTGCAGTCTCTATTTCTTTTCACTCTCAAAGCCTGATGGGATGCTAGTTTTACACGATCTGTGAGAGTTAAGGCGAGATCTTGATGGTATTTTACCAAGTCAATTTCAACACAGTCAAGTTGTATTCTTGTATATTTAAAAAAAACTAAATCCATATTCCAACGTTGTCATGGAATTAACGAGACCCCTTTACCATACCTTTATGTATACCTATTTATAAACATTACAATCAGATTAAAATGGAAACTTTATAGCGGTTGAAGTTAGTTCTACAACTTGCCGGTAAGGAAACTGCTCACCGACAAAACGTACAACTTACTCTAACGTGGTAAACAAACGTCCCTAAAGGTAAACAAGTATTATGACTTGAGAAACCAACTAACTATAAATTGTTACCGAACCATAAATAGTTTATTGATAAATTATAAAGCTGATATAACTGTTATAGATATTTTTCAATTTTTTTTTGTTTAACTCTTATGCCGTTACGATTTTATTATCGGACCACTTAACTATTATAAATAGGAAAAAAAATATGTATGTATATGTGTCTTTTTGTTCCACCTTCACGCTGAAACGGCAAATTTGGATGAAATTTAGTATACACAGAAGGATTGTGTGTACTGTACGCGAGGGTAAGTCTACATAATATACTTTTTACAAACATGTCCTTTACATAGGTTTGTACATACATAGCTTTAATAATTTTCTTTAACACAAACATCGAAGTAATAAAGGCGTCTTTACTGAGGATTTGGGTTCTAAGTAAGATCTTAGTTTATATCCCCTTTAATTAACTTGTTAGGTAGGAAAGTTTCAAAAAGAACTTTACAGATTTAATGAAATACCTTAGGCAGTAAATTATAAAGGAGCCAACTAACAATGTATTTTAACTGACTCCAAAAAAGGAGAAGATAATTAACTCGACTGCCATTTAAAAAAAAATGTTGACGTTCTTTGTTAAGTTCGTTTAAAATTATTTTTAATACGGCACCACTTTGAGTCGAGTTAGGTTGCACTTGGCGATTTGTTAAATAATACGCTAAAATCTCCGCTCTCTTATTTTAAATTCGATATAAACAGGTAAGATTTTCAATTTTTTTGTCTTTTTATAACGATAAGGATAAAAACATATTCAATTTATTAACTAACTTATATTACAGTATATGTTATAGTTTCGTTGCTGGTTGTACAGAGGTCACGATTAAGTAGGTGAAGTGGAGAGAAAATCGAAGCTGGAAAAGTAAAGGGCATCAGGTAGTATGAGGCTATAGAGAAGTTTTTAAAATAAAAGATGTGTTCGAATTTAAATATAATGTGTAAATGTTGTTATAGCCATAAAACATTAGTTTTTGTAGATACATTTGGTATGTTTTGACAACAAACATAAAACAATTGCATATTTCGAAATTACAAAATTCCAACCATAAACTTCTATATTTATATCAATCGAAGTTAATTTAAGTAGGAAGTCTACGTATAACGTATATATATAATAAAACATAATACGTTTAGCTTATAATTCTTGTTAAACATGCCACATTAGATTTAATAAAAAAAAGTCGTTATGTACTACAATTCTTAAAAACAGACAATAATTACAAATGAATATTACGAGTTATTTTAATATTTTTGTTTCAGATTTGCATTATTTCAGAAGCCAAGCTAACTGAATTACATTCGTAGTCAGCCCCACCCGAGCGCTGCCACCCTTAGTTTCAATCCTCCTTTCCTTGGAAACGCTCGCTTGGGATTTGAAATAAAAGAAAAATTAACCAAATATATAGCATATTATTATAATTAATAATTTAAAAATATAAGAATAATTAAATATTGAAATTACTTTAAAAAAAGTGTTTGTGACTGTGTATTTTTTATTTTAAAGTGACATATTTTATTTAAAAAAAAATTAACTGTCACTAGTGACAGATGGAGCGCTAAGTGAAAAATTGATAGGTACAAAAAAAAACACTTTCAGTGCAACAAGTGAGTGAAACGGCACTAAATATGATCCTGTATGACGTAAGCATTTTGAACCTTATAGCTAAATTGTTTATAATTAATTATTAGTTAACAGTTTGTTTTATAGAAAATAAATTAATTGTATTTATTGATCATTTTTTAAATAAATAAATAGTGAATAGATAAAACAGGAAGTTAAATACATATGTATTATAAGAAAGTAAAGTAATGGTGTGTGTGGTATATATGTATGTGGTGGTGATATCGTGTGAAGATTAATGTTTATTAAAATAAAACAAAAGAAATTAATTTTAATATTATAAAAAAAAAACTAAAATACTAATTATTATACATTAAATTAATCAAATGCATAAAAAGAAAATTCGAACATTAATTTAATTTTTTTTCATGTTATGATTCTAGTATAAATGGTAAAGGTTAGATGTAGAAAAGATAGTATAGGTTTATTGTATTAATATGATTAATATGTACCAAGAGAAAACGAGTCATGAAGCAATTTACATTTTAAATATTCCATAACCCCATATATTTATTTTCGCTATTGTAGACAGCATGATACTTACCTATACCTAATACTTTCTTAGATTTACGTGAATATTTGCCATTTTAAAATAAATAAATAGAAATAAATAAATAAGTATGTTGGGACATTAACACACAACACCATCTAGTTCCATGGTAAGCTACGAGGCTTGTGTTATGGATACCAGATAGTTGATACACTACACATATATAACTCTAAATACACTCATATTATATTAATATAAATACCCATGACTGAGCACAAAAATTCGAGGTCGTCACACAAATGAATGCCCCCAGCGGGATTCGAACCCGCGACCGCTGGCAGACCAAGTAGGGTTACACTACAAACTGAGCCAAACGTGTCGTCAAGACTATAACTTTATATAATACTACTATTTTATTCCGTCATCTTACGTTTTTACAGCCGCATTTTTGCACTGTATATATAAAACTAACAATGTCGCAGGTCTCATCTTGCCTTAAGTCATATGTGAAAGCTTTTATAATGAAATCAATTAGAATAATATTCAAATCATTAGATTTTTCATCCGAGCAGAAAGCTGTAAAGCATTCGAAACGTTGGTAAGCAAAAATCGAAATAATCCGAAAAGATAGTTTTATTTTAAAATATTATACTTATAGATTAAAATTGAAGTGTCGGTCTAGTGTCTGTAACCTGCAAGAAATAATTTATATGCATAATAGAGGCGTAATATGATGTTTGCTGCTACTTGTTTGTTCTCGTTAATCTCTGGAACGGTTCAATTGTATTAACGAGGCTTTCTTTGGCGGATTTAGAAAACGGGTTACTGTACGATATAACGTATTTTCTATTCTAGAAAGAAATAGATATAGAAAATATAAAATAAAAGGATAAAAATAGCGAAAAAAGCTATTTATCTCGTCGTAATGTGCGAGCGGAGCCGCTGGTTAATTAGCGAGAGATAGTGTGACTGTAAGCAAGAGTTATGAGATTCGTTTAAAAAATCCTCACTTTACATAATTATTATGTACATACTTAGTTCAAACTTAAAATGAATTTTGTTTATTTAATGTACCTATATAGACACAATTTCTGGCACTCCGTGACTAAATTAAAGCAATATTTACAGAATGCCCATTACCATTGTCCAATTCCCAACTGTATTTACTTATTAGTAAAAACTAGCCTTCGCCGAGTGCCCCAAATTCAACCGCAATCACTATTGAAAATTTAAGGAAAACACATATGAATATAATTTACCTATCTATGCAAAAAAAAACTAATTGTATCCAATTTCGTCAATAGACAAAGGCTAAACAAAACAAATTTAGGGAAAATCGGTTGACAAACATAGGAGAAAAAGGTAACACAAGTGAACACTGAGACTTTGCCCATCTTTATAAAGATATTGATTGTCCGGTCAAGTGTACTTATGTACATCGATAGTTCTAATAGAAACATAAACTTTGCCCGCGACTCCGCCCGCGTTCAGATGACCAAAAACCAAATTCTTAGGTTTTACATATTAGTATACTCTTACATTGCACTTTTTGTATTTTTTCTCAGAAATGAAATATCTCTTTCCCACGGTAAAAAGTATCCTATATACCCGGATAATCAGCTACCACCATATCAAATTTGATCAAAATCCCTCCAGTGGTTTTTCTGTGATGCGGTAATAGACAGACAGACAGACAAAAATTCTAAAAACTATAGATTCGGACTCTGTATCGATAAAAATGTTTATGTTTTCAATAAGATTTTTCCAAAAATGTCTAATGTACAGATTCAGCTTAGTTACAATTTTATTATATGTATAGACTATAGATATTATATTATAAGCTAAATAAATAAAAAGTTAATAATAATAGAGAAATGATGTGGAAGAATGCATATTATGGAGCAATATAAAAATATTGGCAGGATGATTTACTTGAATAACTCACGTGGCTATAATCTATAATTAACTAGGCATAGATTAACAATGTAACAGCTTAGTATCGATGTTTAAACTTTAAACAAGGATTACCTACTTACGTAAGGTTCGTGATTATATTATAATTATAAATTAAAAAATTAAATAATACCCTACGCAAATTAATTGTCATTTAACGATTACACTGGCACGAGTGAAGCACTTAATCGAGTAATCATACGCCATTTGCATTACATCATTTTGGAAAACAGCTGATACTTTTACACTGTTGGACCAATATTAACCAAACATACTAATACTAAGCACACCGACTTCGAAAATATTAGATTAGGTATGTATAGTAAATGAAAACTACCAATCATTTATTTTTAACTTTTTAGTGCTTTTGTTTGAAGTCGGTTTTTATTTTATTGTTAAAAAGTTTTTATTTTTCCCTTTTTAGTGTAGTAGTAGCAAAGTAAGAATTCTAACGTGTTAGGCTTGTCAAATCAAACAAAATAAGCCCAAACTCAAAGTATCTACTATTAGCCGTTGAAGAGTTCCACCTATCCACCTTCTGGCCTTACCGTCAGATCAGGTCAACAATACCGAACCACTGTACTATCAACGGAAATAGAAACACTTGCAAAGTTTCAAGTCAATATGACAACTAAAAGTAGGTTAAATTCATCATTAGCTATTTTTCCACCCTTAGGGGTGGTATTTTTTTTTGAAATTTAAATGGGACC